CCAAGCGGTGCAGCAGGGTCCCTGCAATGTAGACCAGACCCCTGCGGCTGGGTGGGTCTCAGGGTGGACCCCGCTTTAGAGAGTCCGTCCAGCTGCCCCAATGGTGGGGTGGGGTATGGGGTCAGGGGCTCTGGGAGCTTGAGGAGACCAGGGAGGCACACCCGTCGGAGGGGACCAGAGGCGAGGACCCCACAGGCGTTTCCTGGAGCCCAGCAGGGCTTGGGACCCACCCAGGGCAGCTGGCCCACCTTCTGGTCAGTGCAGACCCGGGGTCGGAGCCGGACTCTTGCCCTCCATGCCCATCCTCTCTGTGCCCTCCCATTCTGGAGGCTGCTCCCAGCCCCGGGGGCGCCGACCTTCAGACCCTCCTGGGCCTGGCGCCCACTGCGCCCCTCTCTGCTCAGAGGGCTCCTGTGGCCGGATGAGCGCCCCGGTGAGGCCCACCGCCTCCTCCCACCGCCTCTCTCCGTCCCATCTGTTCCCAGACCCCCCACAGGAGATCACTGCGCCTGCGCTCACAGAGTGCACGCCCAGCCTCCCCAGTCTCGCATCCGTTCTGCAGGGTCTGCGCCCACAAGTCGCTGCTGAGCCGCCCTGGGTGGGACTAGGGTGGGTACCGGACTTGCTTCTCTGGACCTTCCTGTAGCCCTCTGCACCTGGTGCAGCCCACCGCAGCCTATTGGGAGGTCACTGTGCCCTGCTGGACAGGGCAGGGCCTGTGCGGTGTGGCCACAGTGTGGCCACTGGGTGTCGCTGTTTCCAGACCGCTCATGTGCAGCCCTGGCCAGAGGCTCCTGTGCGTGATTCAGAGCCCCAGCCCCAACTCTGAGCCTCAGGGAGCCCAGGCTTCCTCTGGCCACTGTAGATGTGGGTGTCAGACAGATGCTTGCCACACAGGGCCACTGTACTCTAGGTCCCCCAGGGGCTAAGGTAGGACGGGATGTCAGCCAGGCCCAATGTTAAGGCAAGGATGGTGCTGCCAAGCACTGCCAAACCCTGGGCCAGATCAGCCTGGGGAGATTGGTGATCCCAGGGGCTCATCCCTAAACTCTGGAGGTGCAGCCAGCCAAGTGCCCGGGATCCCACCTTCGGGCCCCAGAGTAGGAGCAGGCAGGGTGGAGACAGGTAAACCGGGAGGGCTGCCTGCCTGAGGGGGAACACCCCCCCCCACAGGCCTTGGGGATACCTCCTTCTGGGGGCCCCAGGGGTAACAAGGACTCGGGATGGGGGAGCTTGTGCGGCCAGGAGGCAGCCACCCCCTCTGATCCCACGTGTCCAGTGGGAGCTGTCCAATGCCCTGGTGTGAGGCCCTGCACAGGCCGTGCCCTCACCTGCCTCTCCGTGGTGGGTCAGCTGCGGCCTGGTGGGCAGGTCCCGGGCACAGACTGGGCGCTCTGCCTGCTGTTTCCCCAGATCCTGGCCACAGAGAAGCGAAGCCAGTGGCTGGGGACAGATCACTCAGCCCCTGTGCACGGGGACAGTGCTGCGCAGGAGAAGGGCCGGGAAGCTAGAGAGGAGGGCCGAACCAAACCAGGGGGGTGGGTGGACACCCAGTGCCCTGGGCAGCGCTGGCCCCGGAAGCGGGTGGCAGCAGGCGGCGCCTCCCCTCCCAGCTTCTCTGCCCTGCCCCCAGTTGGGCCTGGCACAGCTGTCAGCCTCCCTGCCCGAGCTGCCTACCTCGTGTCCCACGCTCCTCGGGGCCACAGACACCGGTCACAGCTGTCTCTCCCGGGCCAGCATGCTGGTGCAGTGAGCCCAGGCTCCTCTCTCCGCCATCAGAACTGTTTATTCTCATCAGAGAAGCTTGGCAATGAATGCCGAGGAGGAAGCTAGCTCCTCTCCCAGGATGGGGCAGAAATGAGCCCCGAGTTTGTCTGGGCCTCATACAGTAATCAGGGCCTAATCAAGAATTAATTAGCCAACCTGGTGGAGCTTGCCTGCGGTCCCAGCCCTCAGGAGGCTGAACCAGGACAATCACTGAGAGTTCTATGCCAGCCTGGGCTACGCAGTGAGCCCCTGACTCAAAAGAAAAAAATACAGATAGATAGATAGATAGATAGAGATATAGAGATATATGTATTAATCAGGGCTGAGGGAAGTCAGTTTCCTGGGCTTAAGACAAGCCAATGTGCCTGTCTGTGTAGTCCCTGAGGAGACCCGCAGGATAGAGCAGTGTGGGGGAGCACGCAGGGCCAGGGGCAGCCGGGACCCGGGGCCTGGGGGGCTTCTCTCACGGGATGCCTAACAAATGTGTCCTAAAACCCCTGAGGTGCAGGTGAGGCCAGGGCCCACATCCCCCCACGAGGCAGAACCCGGCCCGGATGGACCTGATTCCTCTGCGGGCGGGTCGGTCGGGGAGGGCTCTGGGGAGGGCGCGGTTTCGGGAGCCCCAGCCTTCGCGGCCTGGGAGCTGGGCGCTCCCCGCTCCGCCCACCAGAGGGCGCCGAGAGGCGCCGGGGCCCCGCCCGGGTTGCGGGGCTCTGAGACTGTCTCCCGAGAGCCCCTTTGCGTTTGCGGAATCAGTTTCAGAAGCCGTCGGGGTGTAAGAAGGGCGGGATGGACGAGGAAGGACCCAGAGGTTGTGCAGGAAACGACGGCGGTGCTCGGAGGAGCCACGCCGCCGGGCCAAGCGGGAGCGGGAGGGTCTCCGCAGAGGGGTCCGCACCGACAGGGGCCCAGGACGAGACCCGCGGGCACAGCCGGGCTCCCCAGGTCCTGAGGCGGAGCCCTGAGCTGCGATGACAGGACAGACTGGGAGTCGCGACCACGGTGCGGGCGGTGCGCCCTCAACCTCCAGGAGCGCCCTGCCCCCCTCCCTCCTGCTGACCCGCCCGGCCACGTGGCCTGTCCATCTGGCGTCGCCGTGGACCCCAAGGCAGCTTCGTGTTGGGGCTTAAGGGTCTGAGGGAGGGGGGCTTCCAGGCCTCCACCCTGGAGAGGCCACAAGTCCGTGTCCCGTCCCTGAGGCCGTGGAGGACGGGGCCTCCTTAGGGTGACCCCCCCAGGAACATGGCTGGGGAAGGTTCCAGGTCCCTGGGCCGGAGAGCCTGAAACAGCCTCCTCGGAGTTTCCCGGGGAACCTCGGGGCTTGCATTTTGATGAACCTCGAGTGGAAATCAGCGTCGGTGTTAACTGGGTCTGATTCCAACGTATAGGAGCACCTGGGTGTATTTGCTCCATGTCTGTCTGCGAAGCCCGCAGCGATGATTAGCAGATGGAGACCGCACATGGCCACTGGACTTGGGGTGAAAAGGCGGAGCTCCTGACCACCCCAGGCTGAGGTTTGGGCCACATGTCAGGGGCAGGAGCTCCTCAAACATCTCCATCCTGGGGAGCTCTACCAGGCTTTGTTCCCGCTGTCCCGAGCACAGGCACAGTTCAAGGGGCCCACGGAAGACAACACAGGACCCTGCACAGCCTGCAGCCCCCTGGTTAGCCGCAGCTGCCACAATACACAATGACGCAGCACCCGGGGACCCCCAAGTGGAAGAGAACAGAGCCCTCAGGAGGTCCCAGGCCCCCACACCCAGCGCTCACTCTTCCAATGGACCTGCACCGTACCCCACCGACTCGACTGGGGACAAGGCCGTTCTGCAGATGGGGAGCAGCGTGGCTGTGCACCCCTCACCACAGTCTCACACTCTTCAGGGCCAGGGTCTGCTCAGGGGTGCTCCGGGGCTGGTTCTGCCCAGCTCTGCCACTCAGAGCCTGGCCTGGAAGTTGCCGGAATGGGGACCCCCGAGGCCCTGTGCATGCCCTGCACCAGCCCAGCAGCCCCCAGAGCCCTGCCCTCCGCTCAAGGCTGGGGCTCCTCGTCCCTGCTGCTGTCAGGCGTGGGCTCCCAGCCTCTGGAGGCTCCTCCGGCCTGGATGTCAGGACAGGCGCCTCAGCCGTGGATTGAAGCAGCACATTGTGGAGCCAGCTAGGAGCCCTGAGTTAGAGCCAACCAAGAGCACAGGGCCACGGGGCGCACTGCCTGGGGAATACAGGAGGCCACAGCCAGAGCGGGGTCCCGCAGCTCCATGTCGGTTGGAGGCTACGCTCCCTTGTGGTGCAGTAGGGAGCACCCACCTGTCCCACCAGGGGCTCACTCCACTGGAGAACAGAGAACCCTGGGGACCACCCTGTGTGGGAGGTTGAGGCCTGCGGCCTGGCCCCTGTGGACGCTATCTCGGTAGCTGCTGGGAGCTGCATCGCCTAGGCAGGGAGGCTGCAGCTGCTGGCCGGGTGGTGCTTATCTCCAGGGCGATGTCACCCCACCCTGCTGTGCTGCTGGCAGTGGGTGAAGCTCCCAATCGGCTTGCAGGCTGAGGCAACGCCTTCCCTCCTTGCAACACCTCACCTGACCCCAGCGGTGTCAGCACCCCAGGCTCCCTCAGACAACCCACCCATCTGCACTGCCCCCCTCGCCGGGGCCCAGCTCTCAGGGCCTCCCACGTGCCACCTGGGCATGCATAGCGGGAGGCCCCGCCAGAACGGGGTGGCCATGAACACGTGGTGTGACAACCTGGAAGGGCATCTAGGATCATCTGCAGACTCACATTCAAACAGTGGGGACAGCTGGGGCTCCGAGAGAGCGCAGCCAAGAGGAGTGAACATCCAGACAGAGGAGCCTGTTAGTGGCAGTGTGTGCAGGGGCTGGGGACAGCTTGGGAGGCCCCAGGCAGCTGGCCAAGGCCAGGGTCCAGGGAAGTCCGGTTGTGGATCAGCAGAGTATGCAGGCGGGGAGGGGCACAGGCGGGAGGCCCCCGGCCCTGCGTCCCCCGCCGAGGGTACAGCGATGGCTTGCGGTTGGCACAGAGCAGAGGAGGGGGTCGCGCAGGGCTGGGAGGGTTGGCAACGCCGACTCTGGTGGCCGGAAGTGAGCGCTGTGCCAAGCAGGGAGCGGGGCCAGGGAAGCCCCGGGCCAGCCCCTGCCTCCCTGGCATGGAAGGACTCGGGGCTTGTGGAGCAGCGGCCCCCGCAGGAAGCAGCAGCCCCGAACCCCAGGAGGAGATGCACTGGGCAGGATGTGTGGGCTGCAGAGGGCACTGGCCCTCACCTCGTCTCACCAGGGCCAGTAGCCCGCCAGGCTGCTGAGCCCCAGAGACCCAGGAGCTCGGGCTGTGCGGATCCTTCCGCCTGTGTCCCCAGGTGCTTGCCACTGGTTAGGGTGAGCCCCGGACTGGAGGGCCTGGGGCACAGGGGGACCTGGGAAATGCTTCTCCCAAAGGGTCAGGACCCAGTGTGTACCCTGTGGGTGACTGGGTGGGGGTGCCAGCCTGGAGTGTGTCAGTATGTCAGTGTGAGCACAAGTGAGGGTGTATGTGTGTGTGAGAGTGGGAGCTGCTGTGCTTGTGTGACCGTGCGACGGAGAGTGTGTGAGTGGGGTCTCCATACAGATGCCACACGCACACTCGCCGGATGGAGCCCCAGGGTCAGCACCCTGCACCCCACCCCACTCCCGCCTGCACCTGCCTCTGGTAAATAAAGTTTTGTTGGAACCCAGCCACTCCCTCTCTGCTCTCAGACCCGACAGCTCCCACAGACTGGGCACACAGCCTGTGTTTGCCCCCAACCCTCCGCCACGAGCCTTTGGACTGCTGAGCAAGCAGGATCCGCCTGGCTGGGCATCCAGGGCTGCGGGAGCCTGAGGGGCTGGGAGGCGACTGCCCCTCACTCCAAACCGCTGCTCTTTGGACTCCGGGGGACCCCCGCCCTGAGGTTCGACACCCAGGCTGCTGGGCTTGACAGCAGGACAAACACTGGCAAAGGTTCCAGAACAACAACAGCGGCATGGTGCGGGGGACAGCGGAAGTCCATCGATCGCCCTCACCTCTGTGACCAGCGCGGGGCCAGCTGGACGATGTTCCGAGCACTGGCCAAGGCCAGTCCTGCCCTGGGGCCCCTGGCGGCAGGCTGGGCACCGACCATGGCCTCCCACCAGCTGCACGTGGGCCCGCCGGAGGCCCTACTCAAGCCGCTCTCTGTGCCCAGCCGGCTCCTCCTGGGCCCCGGCCCCTCCAACCTGGCCCCCCGGGTCCGGGAAGCCAGTGGGCTGCCGCTGCTCGGGCACATGCATAAGGAGACATTCCAGGTAGCCGGCTGCCACCCGGGCCAGTCTGCGAGCCGCCCCCTGCCTGCTCAGGAGAGGCCAGAGCAGTGGTGCCACCATGTGCCCACTGCCCCCAGGTCATGGACGAGATCAAGCAGGGCATCCAGTACGCGTTCCAGACCAGGAACCCCCTCACACTGGCGGTCAGCGGCTCGGGACACTACGCGCTGGAGACGGCCTTGTTCAACCTGCTGGAGCCAGGGGACTCCTTTCTGGTCGGGGCCAACGGCATATGGGGGCTGCGGGCGGCGGACATCGGCAAGCGGATAGGTGAGGGAGGCAAGGGCAGGTGGGCCCTGGCCTTGCTGGCCTGGCAGCGCTCGCCTGTCCACCCTCTGTGCCCCTGCTCCCTCCTCCTTCAGGCAGTGGAGCCCGGGCCCCAGATTTGGGGCGGCTGTGGGGAGACCACGGTCTCCTGGTCTGAGCCCTGCAGCCCTCAGGGTCTCCAGGCGTTTCTCTGCTGCTTGACAGGAGGGGGTTTCAGAGCTAAATCCTCCCCCAGTCTCAGAAACAGCCTTCTTCCTGGGCCTCCCCACACACTGAGACGCACAGGGCCGGTCCTCCCCAGGCAGGCGCTCACAGGCTGGGAGGGCAGGAGTCAGTACCGGCTGGTGACACCCAAGCCCCCAGTGCTCTGCAGGGTCCACACGGCCGCCCTGAGGAGGGGCTGCACAGCCCGTGAGGGCCCTGGCCCCTGCCAGTCCCTGTCAGTCCACGCTGTGTTCCAGGGCAGCCAAGGTCGGGCCGAGCAAGGACTGAGGGGACGCGGCCTCTGGGCTCTCTACCTGGTTGTGGGCCTGGCCCCTGCCCCAGGAGCCCTCGGCTGACAGTGTGACGGTCACTAATCCTCTGTGCTGGGCTTGTGGAGCCAGGGGTGCCCGCTCTGGGGTGGGCCCGGGGAAGGTCGGCCCGGAGCTCCAGCCCAGCAGCCCTCCGGGAAGCACAGCCTCACTGGGCACATCCTGCTTGCCCTGTGGCCCAGCCCTGCGTGCCCCTCGTGTGGGCAGCATGGGCCCTGGTCCCCAGCGCCATCCCTGCCGTGAGGGCTCCTCAGCTGCCTCCCGCCTGCAGGAGCCCGCGTGTACCCCATGACCAAGGAGCCTGGAGGCCACTACACGCTGCAGGAGGTGGAGGAGGTGCGGGGCCCTGACCCTGGGGCTTGGCCAGGAGGCAGGGTGGCATCAGGGCCAAGGGGCTGGCTGGGGCAGCGGCTGGCCCTCTGCCTTTCTAGTGACCAGAGCGGCTGCAGGAGAGGCACTCGGTTATCTGAGGACAGGCGGGATGCTGGTGCTGTCTGGCAGGGAAACTGAGTCTGGATAATAGTCCTGTTGGCAGGGCCAGCGGGGCTGGAGGAGGGGGCAGATGACAGGGGCGGGGCTGCTCCTGACCCAGCCACAGCCCTCCCTGCTCCCTGCTGGGCAGGCCAGTGGTGACCCACAGACTGTGGGGCACTGTGGGCCCCAGCGGCCCCCACAGATTTCCTGGGCCAAAAGCCCTCTTTGCCCAGATGGCCCAGGCCAGTGGAGGGAGGGGTGTGTGGGGTGGCCCTGCCCTGTGCCCCCAGGAAGCCCATGGACTCTGCCCATGCGATCCCTCTGCCCTCAGGGCCTGGCCCAGCACAAGCCGGTGCTGCTGTTCCTGACCCATGGGGAGTCTTCCACCGGGGTGCTGCAGCCCTTGGATGGCTATGGGGAGCTGTGCCACAGGTGGGCTGTCCCCGAGGCTGGCGGGGTGCCGAGGGTGCTGGCAGAGGGCGGCCTGACTCTGTGCCACCGGATCCCTGCGGCCCCTGCCGCCCAGGCTGCCCCTCCAACACACCCCATGGGGACCCTGCGATGGGACAGGTCTGTGTCTCGATGCCTGGGCGGGGTCCTGGCAGTGCCCCCCAAGGCACCCCAGAAGCCCCATGCTGCTTCACTCCACCGCCCTCTGTGCCCACCCCTCCAGGTTCCAGTGCCTGCTGCTGGTGGATGCCGTGGCGTCCCTGGGTGGGGCCCCCATCCACATGGACCAGCAAGGTGGGCAAACCCTGTGGGCCCCACTGCCCCTGGCTCAGGCCCTGTCCCCACACCGGTGCTCGCTGGTGCAGACATCCAGTTTCCGTTACTGCCACTCGATGCCCAGGGGCCCCACCTCTTCCAGGGCCCCCAACACAGGATCCCTGGGGACGCAGCAAGGCACAGTTGGCACTGGGGCGGGGTCAGCTCCCCGGGGGAGTGCGGGGGGCCTCGGAGCTACAGCAGGAAGGGAGAGACAGCACTGTCCCCAGGCACCACATGCTGACCGGAGAGAGGGAAGCTCTGCTCAGAGGCTCCAGTGAGGCCTGAGACTCGAACCCAGGACTCCCCTCCTGCACCCCCCTCCACCGGACGCAGCATGGGGCTGGGCTGGGCCAACCCTGACCGGAGCCTGTGCTCCCCAGGCATTGATGTCCTGTACTCCGGCTCCCAAAAGGTCCTCAACAGTCCCCCGGGCACCTCCCTCATCTCCTTCAGCAGCAGGGCTGAGTGAGTGAGCAGGACCCCCCGCCCGGCACAGATGTAAGGGTGAGGCCGGGCCGTGCGCTCTGACCCGGAGCTGCCCTCCCCCTCTGCACTGACTGCTGCCTCGAGTCTGGTTCAGAGAGAGGTGGGGACAGGCTCAGCAGGGGTCACCGTCCGGCTGCAGCCAGGCCACTGGGGCAGCTGCAGAACTGGGATTTGGGGAGAGGCCAGGACCCTGCATGGTACCCCAGGGCTCAGACACCGGGGGGCCGTGGGGTCTGACCCGGAGCTGGGGGCCCTGGCTGCACACACCCCTCATACCACAGATGCCTTAGTTTCCAGAGGGGCGGCGCTGGGGCTGCACAGCCGAGGGCCAGGCCTGGGGCAGCACTGGCGGGGCTGCCTGCTCAAGAGAGGGGCCCTCGGCTCGACCCTGATCCCTCTCATCTGGATGGGGTGGAGTTGTCAGCACAGTGGACCCCTGGGGCTTTAAGCGAGTGGCCACCCTTGGTGACAGTGGGGGCAGAGGTGAGAGGCTGGGGACCCTCCACCGGCGTGGGCCCGCGTGGTCCCCGGGCCAGAGCGTGGGACGGGCTCCACCACCGCCAACACACAGGGCAGCCCTCCGGGCCTCTCCCACCAGGCGCAAGGTCTGTGCTCGCAGGACGAAGCCCTTCTCCTTCAGCATGGACGTCAGGCTGCTGGCCAACCTGTGGGCCTGTGACCGCAAGCCCAGGATGTGAGGCGGGGCCGGGGTCCTGCCCTCTGGGGCCCACACTGTCACGAGCAGCCTCTGAATCCCTGCCTTCCCAGCCGCAGTTTACCCCTCAGGGCTAGGAGAGGGTGAAGCAGGGCTCGGCGTGCCACAGCCAAGACAGGGCACCCGGGCCTGCTGGCTTCCTGTGTGCTGGGCCCTCGGTGGGGAGGTGGCAGCCCCTCCAGGTCCCTCCGTCCTTCCGTCCTGCTGCCCTCCCAGCAGACCCTGCCTCGACAGCTCTGGGCTGCTGCCTGGGAAGGGGCTGCTGCCGGGCCAGTGCCGGCCTGGGACGTGAGCTGGGCCCCTGCCGCCACAGGTACCATCACACCACGCCTGTCGTCGGCCTGTACAGCCTGAGGGAGAGCCTGGCGCTCCTGGCGGAGCAGGTGCGTGGAGGGCCGGGGTGGGCGCCTGCGGACAGCTTCCCCTGGCGCCCCCAGGCTGCTCCAGGAAGCCGGGCGAAGGCTCCTGGGTGGCAGGGGTGGCCGGCAGGGAGGAGACAAGGGCACTACCCAAGAGGCCAGCGGTGACGGCCAGGCTCACTGTGTGCACGAGGTGGGCGCCCGGGAGGACAGTGCCCAGGGACAGAAGGGACAGGCAGGGATGCAGGGGACAGGGGCAGGCACCACTGCCCAGCAGAGCCCGAGCTTCGGGGAGAGGGAGCTGGGGCTCCGACGGGCACCGGGCAGGGCAACACGGCTAACAGAGCTTGCCGAGCCATGGTTGGCACCTGGGCAGTCCACGGTCACCATGCATCTGGCCAGGGCTCTGGCCTCCTTGTGACAGGACATGCCTGTGGGCATTGCAGGACCAGAGCTGGGCACCTGAAGGGGCAGCTGGCTTCCTACAGACGCCTCATGCAGTAGGCACTGGCCACCACCTGCCAGGGCTGCCTCTCGGGCCTGCTGCCCTGGGCACGATTCCCACAGGAGTGCCAAGGACAGGTCTCCCCACACAGCACACATGCATGGCAGGGACAGGGTCACTCCCGGGCATGCGCAGCTCCCAGGGCCCCAGAGCCAGGCCGGTGAAGCTGGGTGTGACCAGGGTGACGGCTCTGTCCAGAGCCGAGTCACCAGCAGGACACAGGCCACTTGTAGCTGTGGGCCATCAGCCGGGCAGGACAGGACAGGAAAGGCAGCGAAGCACTGCCCACTCCCTTGGTCCTGATGTCCCCAGAGGGGCTGTCGCCACCAGCCCAGAGGCGAGGAAGGGTCTGGAAGGGCCCCTGGCATGGCCTCTGTGTTCCCCCCCCGGTGTCCCTGCGTCAAGCTGCTGCTGCAGGGCCGGTTGGAGGCGAGTTGTCCATGTGCTGGCGGTCACCACGCCATGCGTTTGTCCCTGAGGCCTGAGGGCTGGGGCTGAGCCAGGGAGGAAAGAAGGGGCAGAGGGGCAGGGTCACAGGAGAGGGGCAGGCACCCAGGGGGTCAGCGGACAGCAGCCACTGCTGGGCGACCTCAGGGCTGGGGGCAGTTGGGTCACATCGGGTCGGAGGAGGTCTAGGACTCAAGGACCACCCCGGCTGGAAGAATGGCCTGCTGTGGCCCAGCTGCCCGCCGTGGGGCCCCTGCCTCCTCCAGTGCACCTCCCTCTGCCCTTCTGGCCCACACTGTGCCCTGCTCTAGGCTGGCCAGCGCCTCGCCCACCACAGCCCAATGGGGCCCTAGTGGCTGCACAGGGCTGGCCCAGTCTGCAGCTTCCACCCACGCACGTTCCCTGCCCGCCAGCGCCCCCTTCCCGCAGGGCCTGGAGAGTAGCTGGCAGCGGCACCGTGAGGCCTCGGCGTACCTGCACAGCCGCCTGCAGGGCCTGGGCCTGCAGCTCTTCGTGAGGGACCCGGTGAGGAGGGGCGCAGGGCAGCAGGACGCAGTGTGGTGTGGGGGCCGCACCCGAGGGGCGTGTCCCACCCTAGGAAGGGCCTTCGGAGCCCCGGTCTTCAGGTGCTCCAGCTCCCCACCCCGGAGCCCCGCGGCCTCCCCACTCTCCCCAGGCAGCCAGGAGGGCGGGTGGCCTGGGTGACGCCGTCAGGAGGGACATGCAGGAGTCCGGCTGTGCAGCTGAGCAGCACACTTCCGCAGGCCGCCCGTCTGCCCACCATTACCGCTGTGGCCGTGCCCGCAGGCTATGACTGGAGAGACATGGTCAGCTACATCATGGACCACTTCGGCATCGAGATCGCGGGCGGGCTGGGGCCCTCTGTGGGGAAGGTGAGGGGCCTTCGCTGTCAGGGCCCTTGGCCTGAGCATCAGACTCGGTCCCACACTGAGGCCCCTTTGCCCTGGACCCCGTGGGATCCCAGGGCCGGGACAGCAGGGCCGGCCAGGGGACCCTCCTCTCCGACAGCGGGCGTTCTGCCCTTCCCCAGCCACTCCCAATGTCCTTCCTACGTCCCCTGCTCTGGGAAACCTCAGGCCTGGGCCTCGAAGACTTGCCCATGCAGCGATGCTGAGCGACCTTCGCTGGCCACCCGCCGGCCCCTTCTCCAGCTCTGTGCACAGTGGGGGACCTGGCCTGGCTCCCTGGGGCTGCCTGGCTCCTGGAGCTCTGCTGCCTTCGCCCGCCAGGTGCTGCGGATCGGCCTGCTGGGCTGCAACGCCAGCCGGGAGAATGTGGACCGCGTGGCCGAGGCCCTGAAGGAGGCCCTGCAGCACTGCCCCCGCAACAAGCTGTGACCAGCCGGCTGAGCCTCCACAGGCCGCAGTGGTCACCAGGCCTGGGGCCAGGAGGGCTGCCCTGGAGCCATCTCCCTCCAAGCGGGGCCACGGGAGAAGGGTTCACTGTGCTCTCCACAGAACTGCTGTTCCTGTGGCCACTGGCCTCTGGGACGATCAATAAAGTGCTGGCCAGCACCTCCGCTGTGGTAGAGCCTGGGGGGTGAGGGGCAGCCCCTGTCCTGGACCTGAGGGCAGATCCTCCCTGGGTGGGGGCGGTCACCCCACCCTGGCCCAGAGGTCACACCCTGACACACGTCCTCACATGTGGCCCCAGGAGAACCTCTAGGACACCCATTCACCTGGACCAGGCCCTCAGCGCTCAGCCACGCCTGTGCTGCTTGGTGCCTTGGCCTCTGCCCCACCCCTCACTTCCGGAAGTCTCTGAGCAGCCCAGTCACTTGACCCCCCCAGCTCCACCTGCCGCTGGTCCCCAGAGCCCCGGGAGGAAGCAGGAGGGGGTCTCCTCTTGTCCAGGGAGGCTCCCTACAAGGATGGGGCTCGGCCTGGCTCTGTCCCCGCCCCAGCAGGTAGGGCTCGGGCCCCTTGGGGTTCCCTGTGACCGGAAGAGATGGCCCTGAGGCCTTCAAGGACAGACAGGGAGGCGAACGGGGGGCGCCTGGGAGCCAGTGGGCCCTAGGGTGCCTGAGGCCACATCAAGCCTCTATCCCCAGTGCTGCACGGCGTGGTGTGGCCTCCACCTGCAGGCACGGAGCCGGAAGCCAAGCCCAGCACTTCTTCCCTGAGTGTCCACAGCGGACACCCCCGGCACTGCCTTCCCATCTCCGGGCGCTGAGAGGCCATAAAAGTGTCTGGAGGGCCAGGAATCCAGACAGAGGCCCCTTGGCCCCAGTCCTCTGAGCGCCCCTCGGAGGGCTTTGTGGGCACAGCTTGTCCTCGCGTGGGTCTGGGCCGGTCCCTGGGCGTCTTTGAGCCCTGTGCCTGCCACGGGGCCAGTTTGCCTTGTTGGTGAGCGTGTCCCCTCTGGGGTGGAAGGACACTGGGGTGCTGCGGGGCCTATAGGACAGGGCTGTAGGATTCCTGAGCAAGGCTGTGCCGTGCTCTGCATCTCGGGGATCCAGGGGTAGGAAGTTGGGGTCAGGGTGTGGCTGGGCTTCACAGGGCTTTCTCTAAGAGCTTCGGGCTGCCTCCCGCCACGCTGGGTGTGCCTCTGCTCTTTCGGGTGTGACGCTGCATCTAACTGGGTTAATTTGCGATTCCTGCGGAAAATGGTGCCTGGGTCTAGTCGTGTGCTACTGGCCATGCCTATACCTGCTTCCGAGAAGTGCCTGTTAGAATACGCCTTGGATTTTCGTCTTCCTGTTGACCTGCGGTCGCTGGTTCATGCCTCCCAGCTGCAGTGAGGCCGCAGACTCCTGTGTGTCTTCCCTGCTTCCTGCTGGAGTCTCCAGGCCAACGCGTGGCCTGGTGGAGGTCTGCTCACGCCGTTTCCCCTCTCGGCCTGCACTATTTGTGCTGGTCCCAGAGTCTTTCTGACGCTGAGGTGGCGACTCGGAGACTTGGTGGGTGAGCCCTGGGTGCCGTGCCTGATCCCTCACATCCGCTGTGCCCTGGAATCCACAGCGACACCCAGGTGTCCAGGCATGTGACGCCGACTCTGCCGGCCCAGCTGCTGACCGCCGCCTCGGCAGGAGCCCTGGCTGCATGTGCGTGGCTTTGGCCTCCGTCCGAGCCTTGGCTGTCTGCTGCTGCCAGTCCCTCGCTGTCCTCACAGAGACACTTCCTGCCCTAGATCCTCTGAATATCCCTGTGATCTGGGACTCATCTTGTCCATTTCTCCAGATCAGCCTGCTGGAATTTCCATGGCAACAGTCCAATCTGTGGATCAGGTCAAAGACAGTGTAAATCATCAAAAGAGTAGAAATTCCAATTCATGAGCCTTAATCTGGGGTTTTTTAAATTACTCACAGGAATTTTTTTAGTTTTCAGTAGAGAGAGAGGCCTTACATACGGCTTTTGTTAGATTTATTATGAGACACTTAACATTTTTGATTGAACAATTTGAACTTTTAACGCCTTAGTCCATAAAGATCACCTTCTTCTTCGTGGGGAGTTGATGCATGGGGGTCACACATCTTCGCTCTTTTTCCATCCCCATCCACCCTGCCTCCCTTCTTCTCTCAGTCCCCTCCCGCTTGAGGAAGATCCATCTCTCTACTTCCTATTATCTACCTTCTATTTCACTCTATTTATAGATTGGGTTTCTCACATAAGATACGAGCTAGTTAAGCTTGTGTGTCCAATTTATTTCTCTTAACTTCATGGTCTCAGGATGCATCCATTTTCCTACAAATGACTGAGTTTATCTTTCTTTGTGGCATTTTAAACATCTCATTTCCTAATGTTTATTTGGAATACACTGTAGTTATTTTTTAATTTCAACTTTGTATCTTCTGATCAAATGTCAACTTTGCATCCCAAGGTCTGCGTTGATTCCTTCGGTCTGTGACTAGTGAGAGTTCTGCTCCCTCTTTTCCAGTACTGATGGCTTTAATTTATTTTTTCTCACCACACTGGCAGGTGAGGCCACAAATACACTGCTGAGCTGAAACAGAGTCCTGTGGTCCTGGAGAGGGCGCAGGGTCTCCAGGGACTTGTGAAGTCAGCTGCAGGTGCTCAGCGGCCCTTCCTGGATTTAGCGAGTTCCCGGCCACCCCTGTTTACCAGGAATGTCAGCTATGGGACTGCGTTTTGTCTACAGGGAGATGCTCACAGCACTCCCTTACTGCAGTGCTATTTCTTGGTAGATCTCTTACTTTCCTGTCAGGCTTGGGGAACAAGGCCACGCTGGCCTCATCAGGTGACTGGGCACTATTTTCCTGTCAAGTCTATCTAGAATAGAGACTAGCTTCTTCGCCCTAAGTGCTTGATAGAAGTCACCAGGGAAGACCATAGGAGTTTTCTTTACAGAAAGAGTTATTTTAGCCAGGCGTGGTGGCACATGCCTGTGATCCCAGCACTTGGGAGGCTGAGGCAGACAGATCACTGCAAGTCCAAGGCCAACCTGAGCTACACAGTGAATTCAAGGCCAGCCTGGACTACAAAGCAAGACCCTGATTCAAAAAAAATCCTTTTTAGTGAAAAAGAAAGAACCTTTTAATGAGTTCACGGTTTCTAATAGACATGTTTTTCATCTTTTTCTTTGTGTCTGTTTTGGTGATTTGTGTTACCAGGGCACACTCGTTTTTCATGGAGGTTGTTAACGTGTGTGTGACACACCACAACATCCCTTCACAGTCTTCCTCTGTCCTGGGGCCTCAAGCGACTCCCTCCTCCACTCCTGATACCGGGGGGCTCTCGACTCCCTTTTCCACTGACCAGGCTTGCTAGAGAGTACCACTTGGATTAGTCTTCTTAAAAACCGGTGTTTACCTGCATTGTTTTTCTCCCTTATTTGTTCTGTCTTGAATTTCAGTCTAATTTTATTATCCCCTTTATTTGGCTTCTTTTGGTTTTAATTTCCTCCTCTTCAAGTTTCTTGTATTTATAATTGACATGTAATAATTGACATGTACAACTGATATGTAATAATCCAGGTTTTCTCTTCTTAGCTCTGACAGGAAAAGCTAATTTATCTTTTTGTTTGTTTGTTTATTTGTTTTTTCAGTATAGGGGATTGAACCTATGGCCTTTACACTGAGCAACATTCCCAGCCCTTTTTAAATTTTTTATTTTGAGACAGGGCATAAGTCTCTCTGTCACTAAATTGCCCAGGCTACCTTGAACTTGAGGTCCTCCTGCCTCAGCCTCCCAGAAAGCTGGGATCACAGGGATACATCACCACTCCCAGCTTTGAGATAACTTATTTAAACATCTCTTCTTTTCTAACACGAGTGTTCATACCTAAAAATACCCTCTGAGCACTGCCTTTGCTGTATCTCCCAAGTTTGGATAGGCGGTGTTGCCACTATCCCTCTGGTAAAAATATTGCATTGTTTACCTGTGATTTCTTTTCCAAACCATAGATTATTTAGAGCCTTGTTGTGCTGTTTCCAGATATCTGGGGCACAGTGTAAATATCTCAGTTTTTTATTTCTAATTTGTGTCTGTGGAGGTCAGAAATCCCAATGCACATGAGCTTGGTTCTGGGTAAAGGCTGGGGGCCTGGCCTCGTAGGCCAGCGACGGCCTCGCTCTGCACCCTGCAGCCCTTACAGCAGCGTGTCCTCGGCTGGCCGCGGCTGAGGCAGAACAGGCTGGGGGCGTTGTGCCTGCCTCTGTGTCTTGCACATGTACGGGGCTGTCTCCCTTCCGTCTACTTTTCCTGCCTCATCTCCAAGCGTGGCCCCAACCCTGCTCCTCCTTCCGCTCTGCCCACGTCCCCCGAGCTGCGCAGCCCTGTGGCTGTGTCACTGCACCTCACCTGCATGACGATGTGCCGGAGCCTGCCTGCCCTCACAGTGCTGGCCTGCGCACAGGTGCGGGTGCACAGTCTCTGTGCCCAGGGCTGTCACGCAGCTCTGCCTCCTGTGAGTCAGAGGTGCCCCGCAGAGCCCACCGTGGCCCAGATGTGGGCTCATCCTCTATCTGAGCCCTGCAGCCTTGTGTGCGAGCCAAGGGTGTGCTGTGGTCACAGGTGGGGATGCCAGGAAGGCCCAGCCACCCTCCTCCCGTCTGAACGCCCCACATGCCTGGCCTGCTCCAAGTGGACCCTGTCCATGGTCCCAGGGCTGGTGGCGGCACCATCACTGCCCCCGTGAATGTGGCCCCCAGAAACACTGAGGCACAGGGGCAGTGGAGGACACAGAGCTGGGCGTCCCCAGCCAGGGGCCTCGGCCCTATGAAGCCAACACCGCGGATCCTGGGACAACACAGCCTCCTTTTGGGCCTGGTACTCAGCGAGGGTTTGCTAGGGATGCACCGGTGCCACTTCATGGGCACGGCTGGCACCGTGATTGCGTCTGGCATGGCCCAGTCCAGGCCCAGTGAGCTCAGCCCGGCTCACAGCAGACCCCGGGCCAGTCCTGGAGTGAATGGGCGTTCAAAGGGAAATCCGTGCGTTTACAAAGCACAGTGTGGCTGCCACGTACCAGACCAGGGACCTGTGCGGGGCAGGCAAGGCCTCAGCCAGAAACAAGACACTGAGTCCAAGGCTTCCGCTACCAGGCAGCACTGCAGATGGTGGGAAGCCCCTGCACCCGGAAGGAATAAGGGTGGATGGCATTACGACTTGCCAGGTACTGACCCAGCTGGGTAGTGAAATTCACTGAGAAGACCAAGAGGAGGAGGAGCCAGGCCACCATATCGGAGCAGGAGGTGAGCGTGGGGTTGGATCAGGGCTCTGGGCCCTGGTGACCCAAGGAGGAGCCGGGCCGGCCCAGGCCCCATACTTCCACTGCCCACTTACTGTGGCCTGGGCTTCTCTGCTCCCTTCTCCGAAAGCCTCGGAAGGAGTTTGCCCAGCCACCATCGCACACAGTGGCGGCCTGGAGGCTCGGCGGCCCGGTGTCACCTGCACTCATCTTATGGGCCTTGGCTAGGGCCGGGGACGAGGCCAGGCCCCTGTCGTCTTGGGCACCGCCTTGGTGCACCAGCCTTGCCAGCCCCTCCCCTCCTGGCGAGCCTGCCTGGGGCGGGACGCTGGACACTGCCCGTCGCCGGGCGTGTTAATCTGGTCCTTCGGGCTGTGGAACAGCAGTGGCTTCCGCGTCCCTGGGCCTCCCCCAGCACAGCTCTGTCTTTTCCTAAGTAGGGCCACCCTGATTCCCACTCAACACCCAGGTCCTCGCTGGGCGACCCGGCCTCTGGGTCCATCGTGAGTCAGACTGGGCCTGATTCTGCCCTCCACACACCTCATTCTTGAGGAGGGCACAGTGCATGTTATGTGCCGTGTGTGGTGCCAGCTCTGGGATGGGTGCCTGCTTTTGTTGCAGGGTTCCTGTCACTCGTAGTCATCGTCCCTGAGGACACGGGAAAGGGAAGGGTGTGGCATGTGCTGGCTATGGGCAGAGTCCCCTGGGCTGGGCAGCTTCAGAGGGGAATCAGAGGGCGAGGGGAAGCAAGAAGGGGAAGTGAACCGGGAGGGGTGTGGTGGATACCAGGAGGGGACCCCTGGCCTCCCAGGGGCACTTCCCCTGTGACACGTGGGAGCGGCAGGCATCTAGGGCAGATGGCTCAGGGAATGGCAGTAGGAGCCGTGGGAACCCTCTGCTGGCCTCGGTTCCTCTGCAACTAGGACGTGGGGACATCCGGGAAGGGGTCATTCTCAGAGCGCACAGGAGGTCGGTAATGCCCCTGCACAGGAGCCTCCTCTACTCATAGGTTTCTGTATTCCCGCTTAGAGACAGTGTGGAGCCCCCTCCCTGTGTGTACGAGACATTACTTTCCCCAGGAGCGATGTCCCATACTTTATCACCGCGGGGTGGCATGGGCACAGGCTGGACAAGCCCTCCAGCTCTGGTCCCTGAAGACACACGGCTTTGCTGACAGCATCACACGTGGGTCACCCCCGGTCCCAGGAGGCACACGCGCCTTCACCCCAGGCCCTCGGCTGGGGCTGGGGCCGCTGCCCGGCACACTCAGACTGTCCCAGCTGCCCATTGGGCAGCCTTCAGCATCCTGGGGACAAAGCCTCTCCACACCCCTCCAGGAGAAGCCCAGCCCTGCAGCTCAGCTGTCCGAGCTGCCCAGGCTCTTGGTCTTCCGGAAGATGCTCTGCATGGCTGTGACTCGGTCCTTATCCTGGATGGTGAAGACCTGGAACTGAGGCGGGAGGCGAAGGTCACAGAGACGTCACCACACCTGCCAGCGCCACAGAGCAGTGCTCTGCCCTCCTCCACTGGGCTCCTGCCCCAGGACTCCGCCCAGAGGGGACCCTCACACCCGGAAGACCCAGCCCGGCCCAACAGGTCCCTGCCGTGGAAAAGGGGCCCCTGGAGCCATGCCTGGAAGTCTGGCCTCCCTCCCGCTTCCTCCCTCCTCTCTGCTTCTCGGCTGCCGTGAGCAGCCCAGGCCCTTCCTGCCTTGGAGCCAGCTGACCATGGGCTGAAAACATGAGCAAAGTGGGTTCTGGGGGCAGGGCAGTTGGCAGAGAGTCGCACCCCTGAGAAGCAGTCCTAAGGACTCGAGCCCCCAGGGCCACAGTGTGCAGAAATGGGCCCTGGGGCCCAGAAAGGCTGCATCTCATGAGGCTGGGCCTGAGCATCGCCGCCTGCAGGCTGGGAGGTGCACGCCGCCCCGGCTCCTGAGCAGGTGGCCTGCCTGACCCGGTCTCCCCGTCCCAGCCCTCCTTGGCTCCATCCCCGTGCCCACCCTTGAGGGACCCTGGGCCCGAGGAGCCCTTCAGCCAGCTGGCCCACCTTGTCCAGCAGGACATCGAAGTAGGCCGTGGCCCAGTAGGCGGGGTCGCTGGCCGGCAGCTGCAGCAGGGCCCTGACCCCGTGGCCCACGCGTGGTGGGGGGCTGTGGCCCAGGTGCGTGGCGTGGATGCACAAGGCGGCCTCCGGCTGGCAGGCAAAGCCCTCCACGTGCCGGTAGATGGTGCCGAGGTCCAGGCTGCTGCCCTGCAGCAGGTCATCCCCGGCGTGGAGGAAGTGTGGCAGGGTCCTGGTGGCCAGGCAGCACAGCAGCACCACCAGCACCCGGTACACCGAGCCCTGCAGCTCCGCCCAGTCCTCGGGCTCCGGGAAGAGGGAGCAGGCCCACAGCAGCACTGTCTGTGGACGGCGGCCAGGTCAGGCGTCAGGCGCGCAGCATGGGCAGCCCTGCTCCAGGCCTCTCCCCGGCCTCTGTGCCTCCCGCCTTGTCTGAGTGAGCCAGGCCCTCCCCGCCCACTGTCCAGCCCAGCAGCTCTGGGGCTCCCATGGCCTCTGCTCCTCCACCGTCACGGGGCCCCTTCTCCCTCTCACCTCCAAGCTGGACCTAGGTCCTCTGCGGGGGCTCCCTTCAGTCTCTGGGCTTTCCTCATGCCCCTCTGCTGAGCTCCTACTCAGGCTCTGCAGCCCTACCCAAAGGCCCATCCCTGTGGCATCAGGGCAGTGCAGCCCAGTGCCCCTCCCTCCTGCCTTGAGGCCTCTCTCCTTCCACCCAGCACTGTCCCCCAGCACTGTCCGCTTGGGGATCAGGAGCACCCCTCATGTACTCCACCCGAGTGCAGGACCAAGAGGGCAGTGAGTGAGCTGGGGACAGCGCTAGGCAGAGCTGCGGTCTGAGCACAGGCCGGGCCCCTCTCCCTCCACACCTGGGCCGGGCCAGGCCCTCAGTCCTCGGGCACATACCAGGCAGGGAGCCTGGCAGTGACCCACAACCCACAGCCCCACAGCCCCAAGGCCTGGTGGGGCTACGCCCGGCCCTGCCGCTCCCTTTGTCTATAACTCCCTGAGGGACCCACCCTGCCCCTGACCAGCTCCTGGCCCAGCCCAGCTGGCTCCGCCCAGAGAGGCCCCGGGCTGGGGGAGGCCGGCTCTGAGGGCCCAACTGGCGTGGACCTGACCGCATTCCCAGGCTGAGGAAGGGACGCACCTGGGTGCCCCGCCCCGGTGCCCAGGTCTCGGACGCGGGCAGGTGAGGCTCCCCCACACCTACCTTCAGGTGGTCGAAGGTCAGGCCAGGCTCCCGGCTGCCATCCCTCCAGTGCTCGTGGTTGACCCGGTCAAGGAGGCAGAGGCTGTCCAGGCGGTGGCCCTGGAGGGTGCCCACCTCCCCAAGCAGCCGTGTGAGCAAGTAGCTCGAGCAGACCCTGGAAGCCAGAGCCCCGTCAGGCCTGGGCTTCGCTCAGACCGGGGCCCCGCCTGTCACCAGCAAGAACCCCCAGGGCGGTGGCTCCTGATGTCTGTCCAGGACTCCTGAACCCCACTCCTCGGGAAGGCTGTGCCCACCCGCTCCCACCTTTCTCAGGGGCCGCCTCAGGGCATTCGCAGGAACACCCAGCTTGCAAACACCCGCGGACGTGGGACAAAGGGAGCCCCTGGCCAGTCTGGTTGGGCAGTGGCCTTGGTCCCTGGGCAGAGATGCCACGGGCCCCAGCCTGGCAGGAGTTTTGGCTGCATCCAGGGCCCCTCCAGGAAGCCAGAGCCAGCTCTGCTGGCCACCAGGGGACAGCCAGTGGCTCAGGATCCCCCACCTGTGCCCATACCTGTGGGCACTGCCCACCTGAGGAGCCCACTGTGTGCCTGATGGGTGGCCAGGGTCTGGCACCTGCACTTCATGCCACCCACCCCAGCACTGTAAAGCCCACCCTCTCATCCCGTGCAGGAAATGCCTCTGCTCAGTCTTTCGTGGCAGCAGGTAGGCAGTCGGCAAGCCTGGGCATCCCTCCTCTGCAGCTGGGATGGGCAAGGGTCCCTGCAGGGCTCACTGAGCCACCAAAAGGGGCCCAAGCAGTTTATAGGTGTCACCTTTACCAAAGGAACCAGGGAGGAAGCCAGTGCCGCCTCAGGCATGTGGGCCAACTGGGCATCCACCCATGCGGGTGCCCTCCTGAGTTTGCAGGCCCCAAGGACAGAGACTGGAGGCGCCACCAGAGGCCAGGCCAGCAGGGGCATCTGTTGCTCAACTGGGTGAGGATATCCTGGGAGCAGGTGGAAGGGTGAGCAAGCCTGGCACTCGAGTCTGACTCTGGGCACCTTGGCACACAGAGCTGTGACGGCCTGGCATTGGCCCCCACCTTGCCCAGGAGCAGACTCTGCCACAACTGCCACGGGGTGCTCAAGAGACCCCGATTCCTCTAGGGGTGCCGGCCACTCCATAGGAACCCTGGGCTGCAGCCCCTTCTCCCCTGTTCCCCAGGACCCAGAGTCCTGGGAAAGGCATCTACCGTACCTCCAGTGCTGGGCGCTGGTGGGCACCAGGTCCACCCCATGGCTGACAGTCCTTTTCAGGGTGCCCTCAGGGAACCCATGTGTGAAGCGGGCCCCATCCAGTCCGGGCACCACACACTTCCTCCTCAGCACCGGCACGATGTTGAAGTGAATCTTCCTCCAGCTACTGGACACCAGCAGGGACAGGTGGAGCTGCTCCTCCTGCAGGCTGGCAGCACTCAGCGAACCTATGAGGACTGTCATCAGTCCAGCACCACCCCTACCACTGCCAGGCCCCTCCACCTGTGGCCCGCAGTGCCCACAGACCCCTCTCACCCCCCGTCAACAGCAGGCTGTGCCCGAGCCAGGACGCCTCTCCTGGAACAGCTGCCTGCTTGGTGACTTCACAGCACTGGAGACCCCAGCAGCCTCACTGTGAGGCCCCATGCCAGCCACACTGCCCATGCCTGTGACCACCCGCTCAACCTGGACTCAGGCCTGCCCACCATGAGGCAGGGCCCAGACAGTGCCCAGGATGAGACTGGCCACCGCCCTGGCCTGGTGCCCTGGGCCGGGCTCTCAGAACAGGGATGTGACTCCCGGAGCCCACCAGGCCCTGGACGGCCCCGAGGAGCCCAAGCCTGCAGCCCTGAGCTGGGGCAGTGAGGAAGAGGCCCGAGGCTGCCCGCCGAGGCTGGTCGGTGCCCAGCACCTTCTCAGCATCCCGGAAACACGGTGGGTGCCTGAGTGCCCCCACATCCCACCCCTGGGCCTGGGCACCCAGATGCTGGGGAATGTGCGGTCGGGCTCCCGGCAGGGGGCCTGTGAGGACAGACAGACGAAACTGCCTGGCCCCGCTGGGATGGCATGGCTGGAGCCCTGCTGATCACAGCCTGCTCCTCCTCCCTGCCCCTCCCTATGGCAGCGCAGCTCCAGGGACAGCTCTGCCCTCACATCTCAGGGGCGGGGCGGGAGAGCACAGTGCGTGGAAGACCCTGCGTCCAGGCTGGCCCAGCTGCTCTGCGAGATGACAGTGGGGCCTGGATCCCACTGGCACCTGCCCGCCCTGCATCCCAAGCCCCATCTCCCGTCCCCCGTGCCCCGTCGACAGGCGCCCCCTTCTGGCTGAGAGGGCCCCTCCAGCGCAACCAGAGTCCCTGACGGGGGGGGGGGGGGCAAGCCGCCTGGGGCCACTCCAGGGCAGTGTGCCTGGGGCCCTCTGGCTTTCTGCCTCAGAGCCCCTCCTTCCAAGACCAGTGCCAAGAGGGAGGAGGGCAAGTGCCGCTCAGGAGGCGGTGCCCACACCACAGCCCGGGCCACCACTGCTCGGTGAGGACGTCCGGGACCGTGGCCGGGACAGACTGGGCGGGCATGCCCCGATGGAAGTCCCCAAAGACGAGCCCCGAGAGGGGACAGCGTTCTCACCATCCCGGCCCTGGGCCCTTCGGGACGGGCACCCCTCTGGGGCTCAGCTTCCCCATCAGTGGTCTCCAGGCCCCTCCCAACTCAGCGCTTTTGGCTCTGACATCCACAGCCACCCTCTGCAGCTTTGTCTCCTCGTCTCTGTGGGTGCCGCTTTCCGACCGTGAAGTGGCAGCTTGGCAGGCCCACTGTCCCAGCTGGTTGCACCGGTTCCTGGGTGGGGGCAGCCTTCGATCCAGCGGCTGCATGCTGCCCTTATTGGGTGAGCTTGGGGAACCAGGCCTGGGGTTTTCTGCGTGCCCAGCACATTCATGGGGACCACACAGGCCTGGGGGCCTTTGCCTCCCAGCCAGGGGCATCCTGGGCATGTGAGGTGACACCCATTGTCCAGAGTGGCCCAGAGCCTCTGCTCACCAAGCAGATGGCAGGGCTAGGTCAGGAGGAGGACAGAAATGGTCCTGCTGGGCTTCTGCAGCCATTAGGCTGGGAGGTGACCAGACGCGCCGTAGGCTGCAGGAGCACTTGGAGCCAGACACCTAATGATAGTCTCCAGATACCCAGGGTTCACTCCACAGCCAGGCCCCCTCCAGGCAGGGCTGGGGAGGAGCTTCCCTTGTGGTGCTGGAATCCAACCAGAAGCCCCAGGCCTTCTGGGTCCTACACCCCCTCAAAGTCCAGTGCCTGGCTGTGGACTCTGCTGGTCACCACTTCCTCTGGCAGTGGAGGATGGGGGCAGAGGATCTATTCCAGAGCCAGGCCAGGCTCCCAGTGCTGGTGACCCCAGCAGATGAGCTGCCCACCACACTCTTGAGCCCCCATGAGGACTAGGAGGACACCAAGGAGGTGACTTGATAGTTAGTCCATGTGAGGAAGTGACAGCAGCCAGCCCCACGTGCCTGAGCCCACCAAGAGAAGCAGGACATTCTGTCTCTGTCCCTGGTGCCTGGCCAGGAAAACCAGACGTCCTTGCCCTGACCCCAAGAGGATGGGCTTCAGGATCCCCATTGTTCTGGCCCCTGCACAGCCTACACTCTGTCCTTCCAGTCACCCCTGCTGAGGGAAACTGGCTGCTTCTGGCCCTGATCGGGGGCTGCCCGTCCGGCACAGTCCCCCAATCGGGTCAACACGATGCTGAGCAGAGGACGAGCCCGGTTCCTTTGTGCATTCAGAAGTACCCCACCCAGGTATAGCACAGAGCTCAGGACGCCAGTCAGCAACTCAGCCACAAACTGGGACAGAACTAAGTACACAAGAGCCCACATGTACACCCTGGTGTGTCCAAGTGAATGCACAGGTGCACACACAGCCTGGTGCCCTGTGCCAGAGGCTGGAAGAGGGGTTGGCCCTGAGCATTGTTGCAGCAAGCCTTAAGCAAATCCAGAGCCAGTGGCCCAGAGCCATGCGAAGGGCCCCATGGAGCCAGTCAGCCAGCAAACAGCACCTGGTCAGTTACGGCCTCAGGAATAGTACCGTCCAGAACACACGGCTCGCAAAAGAAAAAGCAAAGCACAAGAAATGCACACATTTCCCTAGAGGGGCTTGGGGCTTGGGCAGAGCGAGGTCAGGCAACACCTGTGCTGACACGCACACTGACTGTGCACACCATGAACACACACACATGAACACACACGCGTGCACACAGACGTCGCCCCTATGTGCACAGGCACAGCAACCCACACCTGTGCACACACGCAGTGGGCACAGTCCTCCAGTGTGCACACCCATGCAGAGCACACGGGAGTGCACACACAGCGTGCAGAGGGGCCCCGGGTGGCTACCTGGCGCGATGAGGCTGTGGTGCTTGCAGTGCACCATGGCAGCCACCAGCAGGTCCTTGAGGACGTGCAGGACCTTGCTGGGCATGATGTAGCCACAGCACTTGGCATTACCCTCCGAGCAGGCACTGAAGACATCCTCAGCCATCCACGGCTCCAGGCCAGTCGCCTCCCTGGGGATGCCCAGGCGGCAGAGCAGGGGCCCATCCCCTGGCTCAGTGGCCCCCAGCTCCTCGATCTGGAGTGCATTGGCGTCCACCTGCAGCAGCACCTGCATGTCCAGCGGGTCCTCTGAGGAGCGCAGGGCGAACTGGAAGGCCTCTAGGTGGTGGGAGTAGTCCACGAGGAAGCGGGCGTCCAGGGCATGCACACGCTCCAGCAGGGTGAGCAGGACGTCCTCGGCACGCTGGAAGTCCTGCACGCGGGATGCCTGCCGCGACCGGATGGCCTGCAGGTAGTGGTGCCACAGGGGCACCTGCACAGCCATGGCTGGACAGGTGGACAACACTGGGGACTGCTTTGCCAGCAGTGTGGACGCTGGGAGGGAAGGAGGGAGGCACCTGCCCAGGGGAGCAGCAGGTGGGGCCCTCTCTGAGCAGAATTCCAGTGACAGTGCCAGGTGCAGGTTGAGTAACTGAGTGGCAGCCAAGGCTTTGAAGTGGGTGAGTCAGTTGCCAGCGGTTGGGAATGTCCTGGGGGCTGTGTGAGCCAGGCCTGGTCACCGCCCCCTGCCTCCCCCCAGACTGCCCCGCAGGCCTCAGGCTGAGACATCGTGTGTCACTCGCTCATGCTGGGAGCACGTTCTCCCCCATCCCATCCCAGCAGCAAGGCGTGGGGTCTCTGGAAACCAGGCCCTTTGCCCAGCCTCTCTGACTGGTTGGGGGGACATAGGTGTCCCCAGGCTCAGAGGAGTGGCTGCTCAGGCCTATGTGGGGCTGTGGCCTACAGCAGCCTAGAGAGCTGCAGTCACTAGGTCCCCTGCACCTGTGCCAGCAGAAAGGCAGGGGCCTCAAGGTGTGAGCCCTGCCCTTGGCAGCTGTCGTCCACCCGCTCAGCCTGGGCCCCCAGCGCCCCCCGCCTTCCCAGCAGACCCACCACCCACCTGGCCCAGGAGCCGTGGCAGTCTGGCTCCACCTCCCTGGCTGAGAAGCCTCCTCCAAACACACACACCTGCCAGGCCACCTGCCCACTGTGCCTCCCTGCCTGAGCCGGGCAAGCCCTGACTGGTAAGCAGGAGCCTGACTGGTAAGCAAGAGCCTTCCTGGCCGACCCTTGGCTTTGGCTGGCAGGGTACAGGGCGCTCAGCCTGCAGTGTGCGCACGACAGACGCTGCTAGGCAGCCACCGGGCCCAGAGGGTTGGAGGTGGGCAGCCACCGCATCCTGCTGCTTGGAAACCTTGAGGCCACAGGTCCCTGCCCCACACCTCCAGGGGTGAGCGCGGGCTCCCTCTGGCCCAGCCCAGCCCCGTCTGCCAGGGTTGCCCGGAGCAGCATGCTTGTTGTCATGGTCTCTGTCTCCGTGGGACTCTGCAAGGGGACAGATGGCCTCCTCACACCCTGCTGGGAGCTTGGGCTGCCGCGTCTGGGCCTCAGCGGTGTCTCCAGCCCTCCCTGCCTTACTCCTCACGACGGCAGCCCCACACTTGCCCGGGACTCAGCCACCCCTGCCCCCAAACTCCCAGGGCTCTGAGAGCTGAGGAAGGCGCTGCCCAGCTCCTCACTCGCCAGGCCTCGCCCACTGGCGTCCTCTCGCTGGGGCTGGTAGACACTGGGTCCCCCAGACTCGGCTCTCACCAGAGCCTCCCATGGGCCAGGCTGCTGCCCTCACCTCGGCCCCTCTGGCAGTGGCAGGTGCCACTATCAGCCCCCCTGGCTGGGCAGAGTTGGCCTCCTCAGGGCGTCCTGGAGCCGGGCCAGCACCTGCACCAGTGTGGACAACACTTGGAAATGTGGGCAGGTGGAGTCCCCTGGGAAGCTGGATCCTCCCTGCCTGGACCTGCAGGGACACAGCGGGGACACCAGAGTCAGCAGGGCACAGAGGACAGGGCTGCTGGGGAGGCACAGTCCCACTGCACAGCACTGGCCGGGAAGGAGCTGCCCTCGAGAGCCCGAGGCCCCCAGGGGCAGTGCGGCCAGCACTGCACGGGGCCAACCAGGTCCCATCAGCCTCAGCAACTCCGGCAGCCTGTGGGCTGCACCCAGGTCCCCAGGAGCCCAAGACAGAAGTGTTGCTGGCCAGGAGCCTCCTCAGCTCAGATGGCTTCACCTACCTTGGTGGCACCACTCTGTCTCTGTCTCTGTCCTCACAAGGACCCCTGGGTGTGTCCACATCCCCTGCCTCCACTGAGGGCAGTCAGGACAGCATTTGTGGCCACCAGACAAGCCCAGCAATCTGTGTCACCGTCCTCTATCCAATCACAGTCCTCCCTCTTTTGCATGGCCAGCTGCCCTGGCATGCCCCACACCACCACAAGTGGGCACCTCTGTGGCACTGCTCTCGGCCCTACACTCACTAGCCCTGTGCCACTGAGCAAACTGCCCCACCCACCTGACCAGGCCCCCTTAGCTGGTCTCCAGGGCCACCCTGGGAGGCAAAAGTGACCAAGAGAGGGTGCACCAGCAGGCAGACGCCGGTAGCACCCTGGGGAGGTACTGAAAACCCCTGAAATGTTACCAGAAACCTCTGCAGTAGGCGCCAGTCTCCTGCTCAGTGTACGACACAAGCCTGAGAAAAAAACCTAAAAGACAGAACTAAGAGAAAAGCAGGGAAGAAAGTGGGGAGCCAGGACAGCCAATGCTGCTTAATTAGCAAAGGTGCTGGTCCATCCAAGCCACTGATTTTTATTAGTAATCAATTGGGGTAAAGGCAAGCTACATGCAAGGGCAGGACTGCATGAGAAAATGTGCAGTTGTGCAGTTTCTATGGAAATTAATGGAGGCAAGCCTCGAAAAGGACTAGACAAAGCATTCTCAAATTAGGAACAGAACAGACAAAATTAGGTTGTATTAGAACATTGTCCTTCTAGTTAAGAAAGTTTTAATTATAGGAGTGGAATTTGGGTTCAGTTACTCTGCCCTCAGCACAGCAGGTAGGCTTCACAGGCTGGACTTGCTTCTGTAAACAAGCCAGTTGTGGAGTTAACTCTTCACAGCCTGCTCTGGGCATAATCGAGAGTGCAGCCTCCCGCAGGAGGTCAGCTTGGGTCCACACCAGCTCCAGATGCGGAGGCCTGGAGGAGCCCTCCTCTGTGGCAGGAGCACCTTCCTCTCCATGCAGCCTTTCTCTTCCAGGACTCATCTGCCCAGAACATGTGCTGCAGCCTGGGCTAAAGGGCAGACACAGAAAGACAGGCCTGAGGAGTCAGGCCTCATGCTGTGGCCTGTGAAGTCACTGCTCTCTCTGGGCTCCAAGTTCCCAACAGAACCGAGGAAACTGCAGGATAGAGCCAGGAAGAATGCCAGCACCCCATCCAGCAGACACCTCTCCCAGGACACCAACATCTTGCTGGGAAGGCAGCCCAGGCTGGCATGGAACAGTGAGGTCACCCTGCTGGACAAGGCTCTGAGAGCCACAGGTGGCTTGCAGGGATAGCCACAGCTCGCCTTTCATCTGGAACCCTGGCACCGTAGGGGTGTGGCTCTGCACCCTCAGAAGGAGAAGTAGAGAGAGAAAGCAGCCTTCCAAGCGACTGGCGCTCCCAGGTGGTGACGTCACTGCCGGCCCAGGGTGTGCGTGGGAATGCCAGAGCTGCGTGGGCCCCATTTCCTACCTGTGGGACTGGGAGGGTTTGGGGTGAATGCCCCACAGGAAGGACAGAGCTGGGAATGGGAGCTGGAGCGGGTTTAGGGGACCAATGGCCCTACCCGGTGGTAGCCTCAGGAGAGAGGCTGCCCTCTCTGCCTACCCGGGCAGCACAGGCCTCAGCAGGCAGCCAAGGACAGAGATGAACTGGAGTCTGTGCCCCCCGCTCATGGGCCACCTCTCCGGGAAGACAGACATCCACGGCCACCCGGGAAGGCTGCTCCAGGGGAGGACAGAATGCTGTTGACAAACTAAACATCATGGTGGGGGTGACAAGACCCCTCCGTCAAAGTTGGCCTGGATCCCACAGGCAACCCCAGACCCACTGATGACCACCCGGAGCTGACCTGTTGCCTGTCTGCTGGAACTCAGAAGCCTTGGGCCAGGGAGTGAGGCCGACAGAGCCGGGAGCAGGAAGGCCAGGCAGAACCTCAGCACAGCCCCAAGCAGGACCCAGGGGCAGCAGCTGCCCAGCCATGTCCTGTCCTCCCAAGGCAGGGATGGTGTAGCATGCCCCAAACAGTGCTGGAACCGGGGGCACCCTGCTGGCTGCACCTCTCCCAGACCCTCCCCAGCCGGGCTCACCTGGACCCTCCCCAGGCCTAGGCAAAGGTTGGCTAGTGACCCTGGCAAGCGGCCCGTGCTGTCCTCCCCGGTCCAGGACCACGGTGCGGGAGGGGCGGCTCAGGAGCCAAGGCACCCCTCAGGGCTCGGCCCACTGGCCTCCCGGCCTCACAGGGCAAACTCCCCAGCAGACATAGGAGAAGAATCGGCCTCTGCGAGACGGTCTTCTGGCTTGGTTTTGGCAGTTTTGTTGGCAGTGGTTAAGGTTTTTATTGTGGTAAATCAATAAAACATGAAATTTACCATTTCAGCCATTTTAAGGGTGGGATTCCACGGCCCCCTGCAGAGAGGTCACCCATAGGACCATCACACATCTCCAGATCTCGTGTGTCTCCCCAAAATGAACCTCTGTGCCCTCAAACACGGACTCCGCCCCTCCTGTCCCTAGGGAGCTGACAGCTGCAGGGACCCCAGACGAATGGAATCACGGTGTCTTTTGTATCCGGTTTATCTCCCTGAGCAGGACGTCCTCAAGGTTGTCCTGTGCTGTAGCGTAGCCACAGTTCTCTCCTTTTTATAAGCACTGGATAATAGTTTAGCACAGGGGTGGGCCGTATACTGCTCCTCTCTTCATCCACCCAGGAGCAAGGTTGCTTCTCCCTGCTGGCTACCGTGAAGGAGGCTGCTGTGAGGGTGAGTACGCGTCTCTCCCAGTCTCTGCTTTCACTTCTTTGGGGCACACACCCAGCAGGATTTGCCGGCGTGCTGGCGCTCGGCGTTTGGTTTTTGAGGAATTGCTCTCTGCTTTCCAACACCTGACCATGTGGCGTCCCAGGGCAGGGCCCAGGCTCGGTCGCCCCACACGCTCAGCAGCACGCTTCTCTGTCTTCTTGCTCATAGTGTCCTAGTGGGTGTGGGGTGCTATTTCATTACAGTTTTTGAGTTTTATTTCCCTAACAATCACTGATGTCAAGCATACTTTCATGGGCTTACTTGCTATTTGTATATCTTCTTTGGAAAAATGTCTGTTGACCTTCTTTGCTTGTTTTTTAATCAGGTTATCTTGTGATTGTGAAGTTGTAATGTTCTTTATATATTCTGGATCTTAACCCTATGTCAGAAGACAATTTGCAAGTATTTCTCTATGGAATATTCTGTCTTTCTACTTTCTTTAATACTGACCTTTGATGTGCTAAATTTTAATAAAGTTCGATTTATTTTTGCTTTCATGGTCTGTACTTTTGAGTTCATAGTTAAGAAATCAAGGCCAAATCCACTGTCACAAAGCTTTCCCTGGTGACGGAGCCCGCTGTCACTTGTCGAACAGCACCTGAATGGGGGAGTGAGGATGAAGAAAAAGAAAGACAAAGAGATAGAGTCGGGAGGGCTCCCAGAGACCGAGCGCCCAAGCTTATTTTTCTCCTCTCTTTTATACAACAGGTGAGTTTGGTTGTTCATCATGACCCTTATCCAGAGACACCTGCTTCCTTGTTTTCTAGTTCTTTGGGAATTCCCCACCCTCATGGGCTTCCTTATTTCTCGGGGTTACAGAACGTTCATCATGTTCCAGGGCAATCTAATTCGGCAAGGACGCGGCTCCTCATAACATCGTCTCCTTGCTCTGTACAACGGAGGGTAAGATTCAAAATGGAGCCTCTTTGGCTAACACTGCTCTCCACACACCGTTCTCCACACCCTATATGTTTTCTTCTAGGAGTTTTAAACTTTTAGCTCTAAGGTTTCGCTCTTTGGGCAGGACCTCAGCCCCCCCACCCCCAGTGCTTCCTCTCTGTGTCCTACTCCTCCAGAGCAGGTACCAGAGGGCCGGGTCCCCCAGCCACCCCAGCAGTCCTGGGCTCAGCCCTGGCCTTGTTCTCCGGTGGGTCAACACGGAACACAGGTGGTGGAGGGCAAAGTGTTCTCCTCCCCCACAGAGCAGCCCAGGACTTACAGCCTAGCTGGATCCCCAAGCCCTGCACCTGTGCCCAGCTGGCCTCCCCTTTATGTCATCAGCTGGATCCATGGAAGCCCAATTTGCCACCCCATCCCCAACTCCCCAGGAAGGGGAAGGACTGAGGACGCCTGTGAAGTGCACGTTCTCCCTGTGGGAGGGTCATGTGCTGCGCCCCCCGCCCCTCCTACTGTTCTCTCCATGGTGGGAATGAGGCCCGAGGACCGTGGACCGTGACTCCGCCTGCTGATGTCCCCAGGCTCAGTTCATGCAAGGGACAATTCTCGGGAAGAGGGTGGAGTGGGCACAGGAATGGGGCGCCTCTGTCCTGCTCTGCGGGCTCCGGGCTGCCTGTCTGGCCATAATCTCTCTGGCATCTGCCTTGCTGTCACTGTCTCTGCTCCTCCAGTGACTCTGTGCCCTGGGACCTGGGCCTGCTCCCCAGAGCCACCGCACAGCCGCCAGAGCAGACAGTCCAGGGTGGCGGCGACAGCTAGCTCTCGAGGCTCAGCTGACCTAGTCAGGGCCTCATGGGCTCTGTCCAAGGCATGGTCCTGCAGGGGCAGGACAGGAAGTAGACTGTTTGCTGGCACCAGGGCTGACCTCCTGCACGGCCTCCCGCATGGGTCTACACACAGAGCCCAGCCAGTCCAGTGCCCCGGAAGATGCGGGCAGCACTCCTGGGCTGAAGTCCAGCAGGAGCTGGGCTCCTCTGCCTGGCCCAGAGGGTGGTCGGGGACAGCCGCACCCAGGACTTCAGACAACGTAGGGGTGGTGGGCAAGGCGGTGACTGGGCATTGACCCAGGTGCCCCCGATGGCTCGAGGGGCCGAGAGGAGCTGCCTGCTGCCAGGCTTCTCCCACAAGCCCTCCTGCTCCACACCCAGGAGTGGCTGAGGCCGGAGCAGGCCGGCTGTGGCCCGGCACCACAGAGATGCCACCTTGCCTTTGCTCTGGCCCTGCAGCACCTCTGAGGCCTCGTGGACTCTCAAAACCTGAGCTCAGGCCCTGCCCACCCATGGCTCCTCCCAAGGGCCATCACCAGCACAGGCCCACGTGTGCAACAGCCACAGGCTGAGCCAGAGGACATCGCCCTTGGCCTGGACAAAGCACACCAGGTCAGCTAAAGGCCTGTTTGGGAGGAAAGTCTTTTCCCCTCCATACTGGGGATGGAGTCCACAGTCTTTTCACTGAGCTGCATCCCAGCCCATTGCTTTTTATTTTCCATCCTCCTGCCTCAGCCTCCCAGGGTGCTGGGATTACAGGAGTGACTGCCGTCCCCAGCCGTGAGTGGAGTCTTACTCCACCACCTCTCAGAGGCCCTGCGGATGCTCATCCCATGCAGCAGCCTCCTCAAGCCCCTCCCTACCCAAGGGCCCCATGTGAGGGTCCCCCACCCCTCTCCCTGCCTGTTTGAGTGCCAGGTAGAGCCAGGAGCTACCCAGGGAGGTGCCCAGGCCATGGCTGTGCCCCTAGGATCTGAACCTGGAGCCAAAGCACTGGGCTCAGAGGTGCTGAGCAGCCCCCAGGACTGCTGGTGCAGCCCAACCCTGGACCCTATCAGGCTGTGTCTGGACAGAGGCTGGCTTGGCCCTGCATGGGGGACCCTGCCAGCAGCCCACTTGGCTGGGCAAGGCCCTGGGGACCCCGAAAGAACAGGGCCAGGAGCTCCAGGGAGCTTTGTTAGAATACGGGACCCCCACTCCCTGCACTGCCATCTCAGCAAGTGGCCAGGCCCTGCCAGGTCCCTCTGGACAGCACTGGGGACAGAGCACTGGCCTGCTGTCAACCACTGCAGTGACAGCCACGGGGAGCACATCCCCAAGCCTTGGGGAGAGGTCCTGGGTCAGGGCTGCCCAGGCCTCCCCGCCCCACTCCTGGCCCAGCCCACCAGGCACCGCCTTGTCTGCCGGGCTGGCTGAGAACCCAAGGCTCTGGGAGACACAGGCCCACCCTCCCCAGCACCAGAACAGGCCGGCCTGCCCCCACACAGGCTGTGGCTCCCCCTTCCCACGAAGGACCCCTGTCAGCATCTGGCTGGGAGACTGGCACATTCGCCCATGGGTGTCAGGAGCCCAGGCCAAGGCAATAGAGCTCTGTGTGGGGAGCAGCCAGCCAGGGGCGCGGGGCCGGCTGTGCCCTTGCCCCCAGGAAGTCCTCCCTGGCCCCGAAGCCCACCACCTTCCTTCCCTCTCCACCCTGAGGGTGGGGCAGCGCCCCCTGGTGGTGCCTTGGGGTTCCTGCGAGTGGGAAGAAACCAGCTGGGCGGGAGCCAGGAAGGAGGGGAGCAGAGGTGGGGACAGTCAGGGCCCCTCTGCTCCTTGAGGGGCTCCCCTCCCACGGCTCTGTCCATCTCAGGCGGCCAGCCAGCTCCCTCGCTTAAGAACGTCATGGTCCGGATTCTTGGTGAAGAGCAGCCTGGGGTGCACAGGGGTCCTCCTGAGTGAACAGGGTGGGGAGGGCCACCCCCAGGTGTGTGGTGCAGCACAGCTTCCCTCCAGTCTCCGGGGAAACTGCTCCTGCCCAACGTTCCTGAGTCTCAGACTGAGTACTGCACCCTGTTTCCAGGGAAACCCAGTTGCCACAGCAACGGCCATGGCTTGGTTGGACATGTGGCTTCCCCAGCCGAGTCGGGCAGCTTTGTGCACAGCAGGACGAGCCGAGCCTCCTGCAGGTGCAAGGCAGGTGTGCTGAGTAGGGTGCTGGCCGGCAGGCAGGGCAGAGGAGCCTTGCCAGGGAGCCACGCCTGCACTTTCGGCCGTGCTGTGCTCCGGCCAGCCATGAGCTCCTGCTCCAGCGAGCCTGGTGACGGGGCCTCCGCCGAGCGGTCCCCGCTGGGCCTGGACGCTGCAATCCAGGTCAGTGCGTGGCTGCTGCCCTGGGGGACGCAGCATGGAGGGGACTCGGCAGCTCGCCTGAGTCCAGGGGCACTTCCTGCCTGCTTACCTATCCACACCAATGTGTACGTGCAGGGGCAGGCGTGCTCAGGTGCTCACACATGGACAGGCCAGGCGGGGCACGGACCCCTCTGCCAGCAGTCGGGGCTCAGCCACCTGCCCTCCGATTTCCTGTGCTAGGCATGGGAGCAGCTGGGCCTCCTGGACCGAGGCTGCCACAAGGTTCCCAACACCCACACTGTCAGCTCCACTCCCCCACCTTGACCTGCTGGGCCCCCATGGCCCTGCCTGGAAATCCTGCTTCCCCTGCAGTTGTCACCCGCTCCAGCCACCAGAGCCAGGCAGCTCCCATGCCCTGGGGTCCCGGTGCCCCCCCGCATGGACCAGTGACTCAGTGTTTGTCAGCCAAGCCCTCAGACTCGGGAGCCTGCCGTGGGGCCAGTGTAGCCCTAGATAAACAGCACTGTCCCCCGGGAGGAGTTGTCCCAAGGCGGTGCCAGGTGGCTGAATGACAGGGCCACATCAATGCACATGTGTACACACACACACGCAAGCGCGCGCGCGGCAGACCCTGGGAGAGGAGCCGGGCTGGTGAGTGCCCAGAAGGCGGCCAGCGCTTGGTTTGCTCTCAGCCCTGTGTCCCACGGCCCCTTCACATTCTGGAGAACCCAGGGTCCAGGGTGGACAAAGCAGCCGGGGCCACCACCTGAGGGAGAGGCGCAGGGTGGTGCCAGCACCCACAGGGTGGTGGGAGACAGTGGCTGGTGCTTCCGCCTGCCCCTACCCCACTGTCCCCGGTTGCTGCCACCTGAGAGCCTCACTGTTCTGTGGTGCCTGGGAGCACAGAGCAGTTACACCGGGTGAACAGGCTGCTCACAGACAGGGCCCTCGGGAATGGGTGGTGGGGCTGTACCTCCCCAGCCCTGGGAAACCACTGAATGCTTTGTCTCTGTGGACCTGACACCTCCTAGTAGAGAATCAGATACTACTGTCTGTTGTGACGGGCTCCTTTCCCTGAGCATGATGTCCTCAGGGTCCATCATGTGGCAGGTGGGCCAGAATTTCCCTCCTTTTCAAGGGTGAATAATATTCCATTATATGGATGGGCTTCATGCTGCTTTACTCCTCACCCTGAGGACCACTTAGGGTGCTCCTTAAGGAGACAGGTAACACCACCATCCACAGGGTTCACACAAACCTGCTTGAGTCTCTGGCTTCCTTTTGGGGGTGTACAGAAGGGGCATGCTGGATCACAGGGCGGTCCTATTTTCTGAGGAGATGCCACCCTGTTTTCCATATTCATTTCCCGTTTTGGCTTTGCCCTTTTCTAATGTGCCCTTTCCTGCTCAGCAAGGTGCTAGCTCAGGGATGGTTTTGATTCACTCTGCTGACTCCGGAGGTGTGGATCTCCTCAAGCTGACTGAGGTTCCAGCTCTCTGGATCCCACTGGGTGCGCTCAGTCCACTCGCTGCCAGAGTGAGTGCAGACCACGAGCAGAGGGCAGCGGGCTCACGTCCGAGGCCCATCGCCGTGAGGGGCCCGTGGCCCTCAGCAGCACTGTGCAGCTGGGTCCCCAGCCCTATCTCGGGTCAGCAGCCACCCCGAGCAGCTCACAGAAGCAGGCACAGCCTCACTCTTCCCGGCGTATGGAAGGGATGCTCAGGGCGAGAGCAGGAGGAACTGGCACCCAGACCCGGCACCCTGGGCTCTCGTTACAGCCTCACTTAGGGTTTCTGGGGAGCTCCATCACGCCACAGGGCTGACCCAGTCTCTGGCCCCCGCTGGTCCACTGTATCGCTGCTCCCGGCGTCTGATAGGCCAGGCGGGAGCCCCAGCAGCTGATCTTGCCCTGCTCACCCCAGCAACCGGCCCCCAGCCCAGCTGTCCCATTAGCACACAGGAGACCCTATTCCCCAAGGTTCTGGGCGCAGGGCCACAACAGTGTGCCCCATGGGGACAGGAATGGCCAGAGGGGGGCCCAGCCTCGAGCGACCTCCCAGCCCCCACCACCTGGGAGCCAGCTGCGGGTCAGGCTGGCCTCGTGCAAGGTTCCTGGGACACCTGCTGGGACAGGCGGCCCTGCACTAACCTGTAGGCCACTCCCCCAGCTCACAGATCGGCCCACACTCCTCCATGGGGCGTTCAAGGCCCTCACAACCCGTGCTGTCCTCTCCCTGCCCCACCCAGGCCCCCAGAGACTGCACCCTGGGCCTTTGCTTCACTCATACCATTCCTGCACCCAAGCACACACGCGCGCGCGCACACGCATGCACACGTGTAGACCCACACTCGCACTGTTGGTCAGTCTGCCTGCCACCTTCCAGGCAGCCTGTGTGGGTACAGGGGCACAGGGGTAGACCAGACAGACACCATCTTCTCCCTCCGAAACTCTGCTATGAGTCACTTTGCAGTTTGTGATTCACACCTTTGGCAGTTCCATCTGAGTTTCCGGCCATCGAGTCATGAACAGTGTCTGAACCTGTTTGTGCACCAAGGCCCTGCTGGGGCTGGGGACACAGAAGTTGCCCCTTCCCACCATGCCTGCTCCAGTGCCCAGCCTCGAGGATCACCTGGTTTATTACTAGCTGAGGAACAACCGTCCTCCCCAGCAGCGTGTGCCTGCCCTGGCGTGCTGGCACCCAGAGCAGTGGAGTGGGCAGCAGTGGAGGTGCAGCCTGGGGAAGGTGGGCACTGCCCGGCCCATAGCTCTGTTCCGAGGCAGCGGAGCTGGCAGGGGACCTCCTGCCCAGGGCTGTCTGCAGCCGGCCAGGCGAGGAGGGGCAGCGCCAGGCTGGAGCTGGCTGGATGGAGGGCTCAGGGCTCTGGGTCCTGGGTGCCCAGGGAGGAGGGCTGGAGGCCCTGCAACCATGACTGCGGTGTTTGGGGCCCCGGGTGGGTTCCCGGCCGGCACAGGACTCACGGGCGGGGACCAGAGCAGTCCCACACCTGCCCAGCCTCCCTCCCCACCCACGCAGAGGCCGACGTCCGACTCAGGTGACCTGCCCCACCACGCGCGCCCCGCGGCTCTCTCTGCAGTTCCCCGCGGGGCCACACGGGGGCAGTGTCTCCAAGGCGCCCTGCAGACCCCAGCCTCCTCGCCCAGCTCCCGGTCCCTCTATGGTTTTGCGGGGGGGGGGGGGGGGTGGACCGAGAATCGAAATCAGGACCTCGCGCTTGCGAGGCAGGCAGTGGCACCACTGAGCTAAATCCCCGACCCTCCCTCCCTCCGTGATTTTAAATGAAGGGCGGTGCCCTGGGCGGCCTCTGCTGCTCCAGACCTGTCTGCACGCTAGAGGCTGCTGCGGGAAGCAGGCCGTGGTTCCCACTGTGTGCGTCTCCAGCTCTGCCTCGCGGGGCCTGCCCTCAGCTCCGCGGCTCCTCCGAAGGATGGCCAGTGCTGCTGGGACCGGGGCGTGTCCAGGAGCTGCGGGGTCACCACGTGGGCAGAGGGGCGCGCAAGCAGCCTCTGCCACCCCGGGTCGGGACCCCTGGCCACCTCCCAGCCCGCAGCTGAGGCCCATCCCCAGGACGGGGTGAGGGACGGGGCAGCAGCCCCAGGACGCCACCCCAGCCCCCGACAGCCCCACCCAAGTGAGAGGGGGTGTAGCACTCACCCCACCTGCGCAGACCTGCAGCCCAGGGCTCGGGCCCAGGAGGGGCCACAGGCAGGACAGGGGCTCGGGGGGGCCGCGGCACACTGGGGCACAGGGAAACCGTACCCCAGGACTCTTGCGAGGGGTCCTGGTCTGTCAGGGACGGGAGAGGAGGCCTGTGCTCCCTCACACGGGGACTGGGAGCAGGGAGGGCCTGTGGGAAGAGTCCTTTGGGCAGCGGGACCTGGCTCCCAGCGCTCCTGGCCGGGCTGTGGAGGAAGAGATTCCCGGGGGCAGGAGGAAGCCTGGTTCAGTTGTGAGTGGGGGTCTTTCGGGAACCTGGCACCCAGCCCTGGTTCCCCCAACTCTGAGGCTGCCCGGGAGCCCTCCCAGCAGCTCCCCACTGCCTCACCACCCGACAGGCACCGGCTGGCCAAGAGGGACCCTGTCCTGGAGCAGGCGGCCCCTCAGGCTGCAGGGCCTGGGAGCAGCAGGCACAGGACAGAGGGGAGGGAGGCGTCCGGGAGGGAGCGCAGTCACGTGCAGGCCTGGAGACACCGCCCAGCACAGGCCCTGCTCCTCCCCCGTTTCCGCGGTCCCTTGAAGAGCAGCGCCCCCCCCCCCCGTCGCCCGCCTGCCCCTCCCTCCTTCCCTCCCTCCTGGCTCGGCGGTCCGGCACCCGGCCGCAGCTGGAACCCATTACGCCCCTGCGCCTCTCGGGACGCAGCTCATAAGTGACCCTCTGTGAACGCTTGGAATGAGTCAAGTCCGAGCCGCGCGCCGCCTTCCCGTTAGCGGGTGGCGCCACGGGTGTTTGGGGGAGCAGCGGGCGGGAGAGGGAGGGGAGGGAAACGGAGGGGCAAGGGGCCAGGCCAGGTCGCCAGCCCCTAATCGGTGCCCTGCAGCACTGTCCGCCGCCTGCTGGGCCTCAGTTTCCCCCTGTGCAGAGCGAGGGACCAGGACGGACCTGGCTGGACGTCTTCCCGCCGTCCCCTGGGGGGAGGGGCCCTGGGGTCGCCCGGCCCCAGCTTGGCGAGAGGGGGCTGTGCACGCGCTGTCTCCCTGCCCTGGTGCGGGGGAGGCTGCTCAGCCCCAGCACCTGTGGTCCTCTGGGGGCGTGGATGAGGGTGGCGCCTCCCCAAGACCTCGGGGGCAATACAGGCTCTGCCTCAAGGCGCACGTGCACACGCACGCACACGCACACATGTACACATGTACACACATGCTCTAGCCTGGAGGCCATGCGCCAGGCCCCATGGCTGTCTTGGTGATCCGGAAGAAGTCCCGGCCCCCAGCAGACAGCTCCAGAGCAGACAGGTCCAGATGGGTGATGCAGAGGTTAGGGAGCACTGAGGCACGGTACTTGGGGTCCACAGCTCACAGGCCTGGTCAGGGGTGGGGCTGGGGTACACCCAGGAGGCCCCCAGCCCAGGCTGTGGGTTAGAGCCAGGGCCACGGGACAGAGCTGGGAAAAGCAGGCAAGCAGAAGCTGCCAGTGGGGAGGGGTCCCCCAGTGTAGGGAGACCTCAAGGACAAGGGTCCTCCTGTGATGGCCTGGAGCTGGCGGAGCACAGGACTGTGAGACTCGCTGCCACCCCAGGGTCACCCCCAGGGGTCCCCCCTGGAGCAGAAACTCACTTAAGGGGGCAGGGTACCCTGTTCGCATCTCAGCATCTTGTCTGTTCCCTTGTCTGTGCCCTGCTGATGAGGAAGGGGCCACCCCGGGACCTGGCGAGCCAGTCCTGTCCAGGTCCAGCTGCCCAGAGCCAAGACTCCAAGGGCCAGCGCCAGGTACCCAGACCCTGGGATTCCGTGCCCCGTTCGATCTGAGCCTGTATGGGTCTCTTCCCTGGCAGCTCAGCCACTCAGGACTCACCAGGAAGGAGGGTGCCCCTGGCTGGCCCCTCCTCTGTGAGCCGGAGAGGAGCCCATAGGCACTGGCCATGCCCAACCTCCTTTGGGAAGGGAGGGGCAGCTGGGGCCTCGATCCACAGGGCTCCGGCCCTGCTCTGGTCCTGCTCTGCAGTCAGCCCAGCTGTGAGCTGCCTGCACTGGGGACAGGACCAGCGGCAAAGTCACTGGGCTGGGGCTGTCCCGCACCAAGTCCTTCTCTCCACTTCCTCCAGGGTGCCTGGAGCAGGGCCAGGTGCCATCCCCTCCGTGGTGGGAAAACTGAGGGACCTGCCTGGCCCTGTCCTCTCCGGGCCCTTTGCTGCCTTTGGGTGACCCGCTAGTGGCCCCCACTAATCCAGCGGACCTATGTGGGCTGCCTGGTGCTGTCCAGGGTCTGCCTGGATCCCGGGTGACTCCGCAGTGTTTTTCAGAGGTTGGAGGACACCATCCTGGGCCCCAAGGCCAGCAAGGAAGACCGGGCGCTGACTGTGCGTGGGGAGGGGCAGCAAGCCTCACCCACCCCCGTGCCTGCCCGCATCCGCGAGATTGTGGCCAGCAGCCTGGGCGGCGAGTCAGCCCAAGGTGAGAAGCGGGGCACCGACCCTCCCCAGGGCATCCTCAGGGCACTCACCATTGGCACGAAGGCCTGGCATCTATAGCAGCAGCATCGTAGTTGCTTCCTTCTGCGCTTTTCGCTGGCATGAGAACCCCAACAGCTGATGGTGAATGGGGCGCACAAACCCGCCCCACACGCCCTGGGCTTCGCCTGTGTCCCTCGGCCAGCACCCAGCACACAGTGTCCTCCTGTCAGAGGCAAAGGGAGAGCCAGCCTGGGGGGTGGCCCCAGGCCAGGCCATGCAGCAGCCAGGCTGTCCCGCCCAGGGTGACCAGTGCCCTCCCAGTCCTGCAGTCTGTCCTGCTTGCTAAGGAAGTGCGGGCATCTGTGAGCCAGCGGTGAGGGGCGAGGGCAAGGACCCGTGTGCAGGGACGGGCTCCTCCCTCGGGGTGAGGTGCCGTCCTGGGACCCAGTGTCCAGCCACCAGACACGCTTTGCTGGTGGGGGCTCAGCAGGGCAGGGATCGAGCGTGGTGACGCCTGGGATGGGAGGAGAGGGCTCGGGGCCACCCAGCAGTGGGGCTGACGGGCTGGGCTCGCAGGGGTGCAGCAGCTGCCCGCTGCCCTGGCCCGCGTGCAGGAGGAGAGCGAGCTGCTGCAGGAGGAGCTGACCCGGCTGGAGGGCTTGCTGGCCCAGGCAGGTGCCGAGCGGGAGGACCTGGCCAGCAGGTGCCACGTGGTCAGCGCGCGGGTGAGTGCGGGCTCAGCCTGCCCTGGAGGCAGGGTCACCTGTCAGGGGCCAGAGAGGGCAGCGTGACACAGGCAGACCCTGGGTGACAAACGGGCAAACTGCAGCCATGCTGAGGCCCTGCCTGGCCACTCTGAGCAGGACGGATGTCTGGTGGGTGCAGGTGAAGGCACGGCCCACACTTCGGGTCAGCGCCCCACGCCTGCCCACTGCTTATGCTGTGCTCAGGCCTCCGTGAGCTCTGAGGAGACAGGCTCAGAGGGGCTGTGCTTGCCCAGGGCCAGCCCACCGTGACAGGCCCAGGCCTGAGCGTATCTGTGCCTCCTGGTGTGTGAGCAGCCCCGGGTGCCCTCAGGCCTGGGCCTCTGCTGCGAGTCCCCCGGGATCCCGAGGGTCCCACCCTCCTGTACAGAGCCCTGTTCTGCCACCCTCCCACTGTGCCCACCCTGCATGGACGCACAGCTCTCCCTCAGGCCATCCTGACCCAGAGCTCGGCCAAGCCTGCTGCCTCCTGCTCACACTGGTGGTGGCCAGGCAGGGGTGGGATCTTCCTAGCACAGGGTGGAGCTGTTGGGAACAGCCCGAGGGGGCAGTGGCTGTAAAAGCCCTGCGGTTAGTAAGCCTGAGTCAGATCTGAGCTCCCAGACTCCTGGGCGTGGATGCCAGTGACCTCCAGGCAGGCAAAGTGTCTGGGTGCCCAGCGTGACAGGGTGACACTGCACTGGGTCCAGCCCCTCTCCCATCCTGCTGAGGGGGTGCCATCCTCCTCAGCCCTCACCGGGCTTCCCCATAGCCCTGGGCAATGGGTCCTGCTGTGTCTTCCGGTTCCACTGGGCCCAGATCAACCAGGGTACTGCTGAGGGACAGGACGTGTGTCCCAGGCCCCTCTGCATCAGGGATGGGAGGTGGCCCAGGCTGGAGGATGCCCAGCCTGTGCCCTCTGTAGCTACCCACCCTGCCCCGTGTGGCTGAGCTGGACCCTGAGGCCCTCCCCCTGCCCTGTCAGCTGGGTACCCAGGGCCCCTGGGACATCAAAGCCTCAGTTTACCCACCTGCCAGTGAAATGCAGGCATGGGAATCGGGAGGGGCCTCTAGAGTCCTGCCTCCCAGGTCTGTCCCCAGGGCCAGGTGGGACAATTGCATAGCTGTGGGGCCCTGATGGACTGCTGGCCCCCAGCTGCAGGCCCAGCTGGAGACCACCAAAGCGCGGCTGCAGAGGTCGGAGCTGGAGCACAGTGTGGACTTGGAGGAGACCCTGGGCCGCCTGGAGGCCTCGGAGCAGAGGTGAGGCTGGGCAGCAGGGCCAGGGAGCCAGCCGAGCCCGGGAGCTGTGGCCAGTGAGAGTCAGGATAGAGCCCTCGCTGTCCCAAGCCGTCCTACCTGCTCGCCATGGAGCCCCCATTTCCCGTCCCTGGGAGAGGGCTGAGAGGGAAAGTGAGGGAGACCCTGGCCTTGCCACCAGTACCCCTCCGCCAGGCACCACGCAGCCGGGTCTCTGGGGCTGCCCAGGCCCAGGGGAGGATGGTGCACAGGCGCCTCCAGTCACCCCCGGCTCAGGAGAGGCCCCTTACCATGGAGCCTCACGCCCTGAAAGTGGGGGTGACAATGCCTGGCCCAGGCCTCCCCCGCCTAGGGTGGCCTCTCCAGGGCAGACCCCGCTGCGGGGCTCCCAGCCCCCAATGCCTGCTGAGGCTGGTGGCAGGGCCACTGCTGCCCACACTGGCTCCCCTTCTCCAGGCACCAGTGCCAACTCCCCACCCTCCGGGCTCTGAGCCTCTCTGATTTCATGGCCGGACGCTCTTTTGTTCACCTTTGTGTCCCACCACAAAACCAGCACCCCAGCACCAACCCAGCACTGAGCCTGCACCCCCACCTGTAACCCCTGCTCTCCCACTAGCAGCCCACCCCCGGCCCTGGACGGGCTCTGCAGGCAGCCAGGAGGCCACATCCCCAGGCCCCAGCCCTGGGAGGGAGCAGTCCTCACAGCTGCTTCATCCTCGGGGCTCGGGAAGGAGCGGTGCTGAGAAGCGCCGAGAACACCAGTCCTGAGGGGAGCAGCCCCGTGCAGCCTAGAGCAGGGCAGGGTCAGCCTGGGCCAGAGCAGACCCGCTGCTGGGGGCCTCTCCTGCAGGGACCCTCCCTGTGCACCCCAGGGCCCTGCAGGGCTCCTGCTTTCCAGACTGTGGGTGCCAGGGTGGGGCAGAGCCTGGAGGGCTGGGGCGGAGCAGGAAGGAGTGTGCCGGCTGCTGCATCCTCGGGGCCCAGTGCAGGAGGCCAGCGCTGTGCAGGGCTCCACAGAGCTCTCCATTTGGGGCTGGGACTCAGTGGCCAGCACCCAGCATGCACCCGCGTGGGTCTGTCTGTCCCATCCAGGAGTGCTGGCCTCGCCCAGGTGAATGCCCTCCTGCGAGGACAGCTGGAGCACATGCAGAAGGCCAACGACAGGCTGGCCCAGGAGCTGGCCAGGGTGGCAGGCAGTGTGGTTCACCTGCAGCGGCAGCTGGAGCTGAGGGGGGCATGGCGCTGGGCCGAGACACAGGTGCCCCTCTCCGCTTTTGCTGCCTTCAGGGGCTGCCTGCTGTGGTGGGCGCGGGGCAGGGAGAGGCTCAGTGGGCTGTGTGGGCAGGCTCTGCCTTCCATCTGGCATTGGCACACCAGTGGCACTGGGGACACCAGGCTCTTCCCCGGGGAGGAGGCCCTGGGCATGAGTCAGGCCTGGTCCAGGTGGGACACAGGGAGGGCCTTGGGCCTGGGCCGCTCACTTCTAACAGCCGGAAGCCTGGCCAGTCACACCTGAGGGGCCAGGCCCCGGGCCCCAGGCTTTGGCCTTGTGGGAACAACATGTCCAGGTGTGATGCTCTGTCTGCCCCGGACACGGGGCCCACCGAGCAGAGTGTGGCCATGGCTGACGTGACTCTGTGCCTGAGGAAGTCTCCGACAGGACTGGCATGTCCCCACTGCCCTCCATCAAAGGGATTGGACACACGGCCAGTGTCCGCCACAGAGACCCTTGGCAGGACTCCTCTCCCCTGAAGGCTCCCCAAAGAGTCCCCTCAAACGCCCAACCTGGGAGGCTGCCACTGCCTCCTCACCCCCCGTAAGGCAGAGGGAGCAGCTGTGGGTAGAGGTAAAGGTCAGCAGCTGCACAGCTGCCACCGGGAGCAGAGGGGCCCAGGGCATCAGATGAGCCTGCTGAGGTGCGAGGAGGACCCTGCCTTGTGATGTAGGGCTTGAGCACAGGCCTGTGGCGATGTCACACATGTGGCCTTGTCTGTGGCAACCACGGGTACAGTCTCGCTGTGTCACAGGTTCCAGTCAGCACTCCCTGGAGAATGCGCTCCCAGCTGCTGCTGCTCCAGCGCTGTGCAGGTCTTTCCTGGGCCTCCAGCTTCTATGCTGCATTGTGCACCGTGCACCCCCTCAAGACCCCATGCAGAGGCCCAGGGCCATTTCTAGCTCAGCTCTGGTGTTCAGCAGCGTCACAGCCCTGCGTCTCTTCTGCATGTGGCTTATCAAGCTCTGGCCTTTGTCACTTGTGGAAGGGCCACCTCTCCCGTAGTCGCCGCCTGGTTCCCCTCTCCCCGCCTCTAGCAAGGCCTGTGCCTCTTCTGCCCTGAGTTGGGCCTGGTGCCGTGCTGGACACACAGTCAGTCAGCGATGTCCTCACACCCACCTCCTGTCCTCCAGGGTCCTCTTCTGATGTCTGATCTTGCGTCTGCTGCTCAGCACAGGCTCTGAGTGCTGTCTTTCTCGCCTTTGGAAGTGTTGGCTGTCTTCCCCAGATACCTTGTTCCTGGCTCGTGTTTCCGAGCCTCAGGGGTCAGCGTGTTTGGAAAGCTGCGGCTCTGCGGTGTGTGTCGATGTCAAGATGGACTTGCTGTTCTGCTGGCTCCTTACCTGGCTGCTTTGTCTCCTTGTATCTTGGGTGATTTTTGGTTTTAGCTAAGAGGTGCTTGTTTTCTTTGGAATTTTTGAAAATTCTTTGAAATATGGAGTGAATGTAGTATTTCCAAAAGGGATATTCCCTTCCAGTGGGTGCCTGTAGATTTTTCAGCTTGAGTGTGTCTGAGAATGCCGAAGTTGTGTGTGTGGGGGTGCAGTTGTGTGATGTCTTGCTTGTGGCTCTGGATCCATGGGCAGATTTTCTTCTCTCTATTCACCTCTAGCATTCTAGACAGGCAGGGGTCTCCTGCTTTGGCACACATGTGTGAGTGTATATGTACATGTGGTATGTGTGCAGTGCGTGTTTATGTCAGAAGAGAGGAGTGGGGTGTGAGTGTGCATGTGTGTCAGAGTGCATGGGTATGGTGTGTGTGTGTGAGTGTGCACGTGAGTCTGCAAGAGTGGTGTGTGACAGCATGGCGTGTGTGGCGTGTACTTGTGTGTACATATGAATGTGGCACATGACCATGCATAAGCCTGGCGTGTGTGAATGTGGTGTGTGGCGTGGGTGTGTTGGAGGCATCTGGCCCACCCCATAGTCCCCTCCCCTCTGTAGCACCCCTACACACCCGAAGCTCAGGGGCGTCACCCACCTGGGACTGTCCCTGGAGTGCCTCAGACCTGGGAAAGGTGTGAGAGTTGCTTTGTCTGGCAGGAAGCTGCCCAGTTGCCTATCCAGGCCTGGGATCCTTCCCCGCAACTACCCAGGCCTGCTCCGCACCAGCTTGGGCCTGGCATCTCTCCTGCCCGCTGTGCCGAGGGCGGAAGTGGTCCTGGGCCGGGGCTGGCAGGGCTCCGAGTAGCTCGGGAGGAAAAGGCTGTCAAGGCCCTGGACAGCGTTGGCCAGCGGGTGGAGCTGCACATGGCCAGCGCCGCCAGGTGACTGGGCCAGCCCGGGGCGAGGCCAGCGTGCAGGAGGCGGCTGAGCGCGGGGTGGGAAGGCAGGGGCTGTGCTGGGCCACAGCTGTGTCCCCAGCAAGGCGGAGCCTCGGCCCGGCTCCCCTTGGTGGCTCTAATCCACCCACCTGGTCTCGGCCCCTTCCTTGCGGCAGAGCTGTTCCTGCACCCCAGGGCTCTGCACCGGCTGGTGTCTGGAAGGCTGGCAGCGCCCGTAGAGGAAGGCGGTGGTCCTGGGCGGAGGGGAGAGAGGGGCCCCAGGCTGAGCCAAGGAAGCCCGCCGTATGGGGCAAAGAAGGTCCCTCCCACCCCCTGAGCTGCCTGGCAAGTGCAGGGCGCTCTCCCTGTGGGCACAGCCTGGGGGCAGGGTTCATTCACTGGGCATCAGGGTTCCAGGACCTGCTGGATGACAAAACTCCGCGCCTATGGAGCCAGGCCAGCCCACAGTGGACACAGACCTTTCCTTCCAGGCCCGGCCGCCAGGCCCCAGGGTGCCCCAGGACTTGCTCCTCCTGTGGAGACAGGCTGTGGCACTGCAGGCACAGCTGACAGAACTTCGGGGGGCCACTGAGAGGTGAGCCCCCCTCACGATGTGGCTCTGGCTCTGGCCCAGCCTTAGGTCGGCTGCTGAGAGGCCCGTGGGGAGAACAGGGCAGAGGGAGAGGGAAGGAGGCAAGGCAGAGCGGCACCGGCCTGCCTGGAGCTCAGGGGACACATCCACCCTGGCCGGTGCCTCGTGTGGGTCTGGCCTGGGCCCCCAGTCTCCTCACTCGCACAGAGGACCCCGCAGCTCCGAGGGTGGTGTCCCGTGGAGACCGTCCTGCCTGCTCTGCCCGGCACCTTCTCCAGCTGTGCCCTGCGCTCCGTGGCACCGGAGATGTCTGATGCCGGGTGGCGAGAGCCTCTCCCGAGGATGGGGGCTGCTCTGCCCCCCAGCCGCAGCCAGGGCCCGGGGCTCAGGGAGGGTGCGCCTCGTTCCCCAGGGGTCTTGCAGACTTGCGAGCAGACACGGCCAGGACAGCGTGGCGCCTGCACACGGCCTGCCTCAGCCTGGACTCCAACTTGCGCCTGGCAGCCGACAGTGCAGCCAGTGCCCTGGAGCAGCGGCTGCGGGAGCAGGTCCGAGAGACGCTGGAGCTGCAGGGCCGCTGGGATGCAGAGAAGGTGGCGCTCCAGGCCAGGTGGGTGCCGGCCGGGGAGGCCAGCAGGGCCCTGCCCGCCAGCCAGTGTGGCTTCCCAGGGGCTACCACCTGGTCCTGTGCTGGGGTCCTGCTGCCCCCACAGACTGACACCAGGTTACACTGCTGATGCCACATGCTGTCCTCAGCCACTGTCCCAGGGGCAGATCTGCCTCTCCTGTCGAGGATCGCAGCGGGCACCTCAGGACAGCGTGTGGCGTGTGACTGTTTCTTGTGGCTGGAACCCAAGGGTTGGAATGTCAGGTCCAAAGGCAGAAATGTCTTCCTGGGCAGGAGCAGAGGCCAAGGGCCGGTTTTCTGGGGGTCTGTGAGCCCCATGGGGAACGTGGAGGGTTCTGGACCCACAGCCCGCACATGGGGCTCAGAAGACTGGAGCAGCAGAAAAAGAGACAAACTGGCTGTGGCGGTGCACACCTATAATCCCAACGCTTGGGAGGCTGAGGCAGGGAGATTACAAATTCAGGGCCAGCCTGGGTCACATAGTGAGTCTGAGGCCAGCCTGAACTACATAATTAAGTCCTGTATCCAAAACAAAAATAGAAACAAAAGCAGAAAAGAAAGAAAAGAAATAGGAGCCCGCCCTGGGCCACGGGCTCAACTCCACAGAGCAGGGGCCTGGCCAGACACCCACAGGGCTGACAGGCACAGCCCTCCTGCCTTTGGGGCGTCCGGGTCAGGCAGACCCCAGCCTGGCTCCAGAGCAGTGGGTGTGGGCTGCAGAGAGCCAGGTAGCCAGCTTCGGACAGCATGGGCAGCAGGGCTGGGGATGGGGACCCGGGGAGGAGCGCTGTCAGGCCGATGGCACAGGGAGCTCCAGGAAGAGGTCAGCTTGGCAGGGGTGGAGACAGCGCCCCCAGCTGTGCTGGAGGAAGCAGGGCCTCAGCCAGCGCGGACATGGGCTGCCGGGCGGACTGGGTCAGGTAAGGCCTGGACGCTGAGGCCAGGATGGGTGCCTTACCCCTGCGACGAGACCCACTGGGATTCGATAGCAAGAGAGGCTGAGGTTGGACCTCAGGCAGGGGACAGAGCCAGGGCACCCTCGGGCTCCCCTCAGGCTCTCTGAGCAGATGCTGCTGGTGGAGGAGCTCACGGAGCAGAGCGAGCGGAGGGAGAGGACCCTCGCATCCCCCAGGCCGGACGTCCAGAACCTGGTCTGTAGGGCGGTGGAGGGGGAGCCTCTCCAGAGGGCAGGGGTGGTGGTGTCCACCTGCCTGGCTCAGGGGCTTCGCCCACAGGACTCCTGGCAGCGCAGCGGGGGCCGCCTGGCAGAAGACACCCTGCGGACCGAGGTCCAGTCCCTGCGGGCCGAGGTGCAGTCCCTGCGGAGCGTCTTGACCAGCATCGAGGAGGTTCGGCCCACGGCCCTGGGTACAGGCCAGGCGGCCCGGAGCCCCATCTAATCGTGGCTCTGCACTCTGTCCCCTCTGTCCCCTCTTGCTCCCTGGAGATGGTCCAGGCGGACGCCGGGAGCCCGGAGCAGGCGTGGAGCAGTGGCGCTGAAGGCAAGGAGGTGCGGGGCCGACAGAGGAGCCCCCCACAAGCCCCGTCCCCTCCACAGGCCTGCTCCCCAGCCAGCCTGGACCCATCGCTGCAGGTCGTGGGAGCAGCCATGGAGAGGCGAAGACAGCGAGAGCAGGTGGGGCCCCGGCCCAGGGACACCAAGACCAAGCCTCATGGCCCTGGAGAGGCCCCTCACACACCCACCCCCCACAGGAGCTGCGCCTGCAGCTGGAGTCCTCTCGGGCCGTGGCTGCCCAGCTCCGAGAGCAGCTGTCTGCGTGCAAACGGGAGCTGCGGGCCTCTCGGAGGCTCCTGCAGGACAGGGCGCAGGAGCACGAGGACCTCCTGGGCCAGCTGGAGGTGCAGAAGCAGGAGGCGCGGCGCTGCCAGACGTCTGCTGAGCTCTTGGGAAGGTGCCAGGCCGGGAGGGGCTGGTGGGGAGGGGAGGGTGCAGGTGGGCAGAGGCCGGGGCAGGACCAGCCTTTCCGGAAGACCTGGCCTGCCAGCAGCCCCATGTCCACCTGCACCTACTGACGGCTTCTAGCTCATGGTCCAGGCCCTGGTGAGCGTGTCTTCTCCTCCACCTCCCTGAGTTGTGGCCTGGGCCTTCCCGGCCCCTGCCTGCCCCCAGGGAGAAGGTGGCCCTGGAGATGGAGGTGGAGGAGCTGAGAGGGGAGACAGGCATCCTGGATGCAGAGAGGCAGAGGCTGGAGGCAGCCAGCGCGGAGCTGCAGAGGAGCCTGGTGCTGCGAGCAGAGCGGAGGTGGGGTCCGCAGGTCGGGTCCACAGCCGGTGCCCTGGCTCTGCCCCCCACGCCGGGGCCATCGCATCCCCTCTGGGCCTCAGAGTCCCATGGAGTGGGACCACTTCCCCTCCAGTCTCATCTGTGAGGCAAGGGGCTCCCCACTCCTCTTAGGCTTCCCTGCCGAAGGCTGCCCTGCCTTTGAGTCTTTTGAGTGACCCTAGTTCACCCTAAAATGACCTCTGACCTCTGCCCTCTGCCCTCTGGCCTTGGCCTCAGCCAGGGGCGCCTGGAGCAGCTGGAGGAGAAGGTCTCCTTGCTCAGGAAGGAGCTAGCATCGGCCCAGGAGGCGCTGAGCGTGGCCCAGCTGCAGAGGGATATGTCAGAGAGCGAGCGGGAGAGCCTGCGTGGCACCCTGGCCCGGGTACTCCCCGTGCTGCTCTGTTCCCGTGTGCTCTCCTGCACCCCTGTGCCCCTCCGGGCCCACGCTTCGCTGCCCTCACCTCCTTGCTTGCCTGGAGCCTCAGCCCCGGCCAAAGCTCCCCCCGGCACTGCCTCCCCTATCCATGCACTGGGCCCTGCGGCCCCTCCTCCAGGGAGCTTTTGGGGTCCTCGCACCGCGTCCCAGACTCTGGCTCGCATCCGTGACACAGCCTCACTCTTGCCCTGCACCTCAGTTCTGCCGCGGGATCTAAAGTCCCTCCCTGGAATCCCCTCCAAGTGACCCCTGTCCTCCCCAGGCCGAGTCCAGCAATGCTGACCTGGAGCTGCTGGTGACGCGGCTGAAGTCGGAGGGGGTAGAGCAGCGGGACTCGCTGGCCATGATGGCCACCCTGGTGGAACAGCTGGCCGAGGATAAAGGCTCCCTGAACCACCTGGTGCTCCAGGTGAGGCAGAGGCCAGGGTGGCTTGCCCTGTGCCTCAGTTTCCCCAGGGCAGCTGGGGGGCTTCTTTCAGTGGTCCCTGGGTCTCTCCCAGCCTGGTGCCCATGCACTCTGAGAGTGGGTGTTGTAGAAGGGGGCAGTGCCCGGGGCAAACGGTGGCCAGCCCACTGGGGCTGAGGGGTGTGGGGTGCGGGCTGGGTGATGACCCTCGCCCATTGGCAGCTGGAGCAAGAGCGGGACCAGCTGCGGGAGCAGAGGACGACCCTGGAGCGGGGGCAGGCAGGCGCTGCGGAGGAGCTGGCGAGGGCCGAGCAGCAGCTGGAGCGTGTGTGGGCCGAGCAGCAAGGCCTTCAGGAGGCATGTGGGCGCCTGGAGCAGCAGCAGGAGCAGCTGGAAGGGCAGGTGGCCCAGCTCGGGCGAGAGAGGGCCCAGCTCCAGGAGCAGGTGGGCCAGGTGAGGCCACCGTGTGCGTGTTGCAGGTCCTGGTCCTGCCCCTGCTAACTGCAGTTCTGGAGACCTGGCCACATCTGTCCTCTGCGAGGACTGCAGCAGCGGCAGGCCCAGCTGTACCCAGGGTCAGGGGCACCCTGAGGAGGAGCCCAGAGGGCCCTGCTCTGCCCTCCCCATCTTGCTTCTCCTGGGCCACATCTTTGCTGACCTCTCCAGCACTGCTCACGTGTGTCCTCTCCTGTGTCCCAGTCTTCTACAGAGGAGAAGCCACTCGGCGCAGAGGGTGTCCGGCAGTTTGGGTCTTTTCCGATGCTGCCTGTCTGTTTAGAAACCCTGTCCCTGCTGGGCCTCGGCCCCCAGTGGCATTCGACACTGCAGCCCCAGCACACAAGGGACAACACCATCTCTCTCCATTTTCAGACCCGGTCCTTTTTCTGGTCGTCTTTTTCACCTTTTGTTTGTCTGTTTATTGTGGTACTGAGGATTGAATCCAGAGAGTGCTGAGCTACATCCCTAATCCTTTTTATATTTTTATCTTGAGACAGAGTCTTGCTAAGTTGCCCAGGCTGGCCTTGAATTTGCGACCCTCTGGCCTTAGCCTCCCAGCATGCTGGGATGGCAGGCATGCACCACACCCTGACAGCTGTGTGCACTTGTGGAGCCACCACCGTGGTCAAGATGGGTTACATGTCTCCAGCCCAGTGGTTCCCTTGTGCCCCTAGTGGGATGTCTTGCCCAGATATCCCCACCCCACGGGCGGGCAGCCTTTGTGCTGATGTGTGGCAGCCGGAACAGCAGTGAGGGCTTGTCAGTACCTTGTGCCTCTCTAGACTATTGCCAGTGGCCAGTTGCACTAGCACGTCCCTCCGCTGTGCAGTGACACACTGTGTGGGAAGAAGCCACAGCCGCCCCTTTCAGCTGCTGCTGGACCTTCAGGCTGTAAGACTGCTGAGAACATTTCTGCACAGCTTATGTGCATGGGTTTTCATTCTCCCTGAGTAACACAGGAGTGAGTTGGTGTGTAGGAGTGTGTTGAGCTCCACAAGAAGCTGCCAGGCAGATTTCCAGGGTTGAGGTGTTGTCTCACTGAGCTGCCAGCTGTACGGGAATGTTCCAGTGGCTCCACACCCCTATTGACATTTGACATTGTCTGTTTTTATTTTTATCTATTCTTTCTGTGTGAAGTTATATATCACCAAGGTTGTGATTTGCATTTCCCTCATACCTAGTTACTTTGAGCACAATTTCATGTGCTTCTTGAATATTCATGTTTGTTCAAGTCTTTTGTCCATTTTTTAAGTTGGGTTTTTGTGTTTAGGCTGCAATATATAGGAATTCTTTATATATCACAGGCACAAGTACGTTGCCAGCGAGATGTACTGCCAGTACTTTCCCCAAGTTTGTGTCTTGCCTTTTCATTTTCTTTTTTCTGTTGTTTAGTTTTGTGATACTGGGAGTTGAACTCAGGGCCTCTCTTGTGCTAGGCAAGCAAGTGTTCCACCACTGAGCTACATCCCAAGCCCTTTATTTTCTTCATAATATTTTTGAGAGGCATAAAACTTGAGCAAATCTCTGTTTTCTTGATTAGTATGTTTAGGTCCTATCTGGGGAATTGTTGCCTCCTGTATACTCACCTGGCTTTCAGATTAGGTCTTTGATCCACTCCAAGTTGTACTTGTGCTTCTCCGAGCCTGTTCTCCAGACCAGCTGCATGAGCACCACTCGGGACCTGGAAACGACTCATTCTTATACCTCATGCACGACCTACTGTGTGCTCTCCCATGGGGAAGACCAGAAACCTGGATTTCAATGAGCCTGCCAGGCAATCTCAACACACACTGAAATCTGAGACCACAGTGTGAGAGATGAAGTGGGAATGGAGGCCCATTGTTTCCTACACTAATATCCAGTTGTTCCAGCACCATTTTTTGACAAGAGACTCTCCTTGGATTACCTTGACAACATGTTGAAAATAACTTGATTTTACATGTGGGACTTGTTGATCTATGCAAACCAGTCTATTCATTCTTTCACCAAAACCACACTGTCTTATAGCCTTTTAGGAAGTCTTGAAATTCTGTACTATGTGTCCTCCCACCTTGTTCTTTTTCAAATTGTTTTGTCTGTAACCCTTTGCAGACCCACCTACATTTTATAGTCCATTTGTCAGTTTCTACCATCTCCCCACTCAAAAAGCCCACAAGGACCTTGATGAGGATTGTGTCTGATTTATAGGCCAATTTGAGGAGACTGGACAGCCTAACTAGATTGTGTCTTCTATCCATGAACATAGTATATCTGTGAACTTGGAGAGCCTTTACTATGTCATTTCTTATGCTTATGCTTTAGAGTTTTCAGCATGGAAGTTTTGCACATCTTTGACTAGATTCATTCCTAGATTTGATACTGTAAACTGTATTTCTGATTTGATTTCATTTTTCTATTGTTTATCAGTAGGGTATGGAAAGTACAGCTTCAGGTATTGACTTTGAGCCATGTGACCTTGACAGATTCACTTATAAATACTAGGGTTTTAGATTTATAGGATTTTTGTACCTATATCTATGCATAATATTGGTCTGCAATTTTCCTTCCTTATAATCTCTTCAATAGATTTGGAATATGACAAATTATATACATAATGTTCTTTTGGGTCACACCTATTTTACTTCCTTTCCCATCTCAATACCGTCTCTTTTCTTATTGCACTATGACCTGCAGAACAAATTTGAACAGAAGTGAAAAGTGGCCATCCTCCCACTAAACCAAGTCACAGGGAATAATTCAGTATTTCTCTGCTAACCATGATGTTATTTCTGTGCTCTTCGTAAGTGCCCTTTATCAAATCCAGGACAGTCCTTTTTATTCTTCACGTGGTTTTTTAAAAGGAATAATGGATCCTGAATTCTGCTAAATGTTTTCTCTGCCTTTATTAAGATGATCTTGTTATTATTTTTTCTTATTTTATTAATGTGATAGATTATATTGGTCAATATTTTGATTGTTAAACCAACACTGCACACTTGAGACAACCTACTTGGTCATAAGTTAGTATCTATTTGATTGTTTTAGATTCAACTTATAATACTTTGTTAAGGATCTTTGCATTTATATTCATGGGGAATATTTGTCTATGATTTTTTTTTTTGTACCGGGGATCAAATTCAGGGCCTTGCTCTTGTGAGGCAAGTGGCAGCACCACTGAGCTAAATCCCTGGGCCTGTCTATGATTTTTTTTTTTGGCAATATTTTTGTTAGAATTTGAATTTGACAAATTATACATAGGATGGAACTTTTCCTTTGTCCTCTAAGTGTATTATTCTCTTTTTTGTGTTTTCTACCTTTTTCTCTTTGTGATTCAGTTCTGAATATCCTTCAGTTTTATCTCTCAGGTTATTAGTATTCTATTCTAATCTGCCATTAGGCCTATATATTAATTAATTTTGATTAATGTATTTTAAAATTATATTATTCATACTTAGTATCCAGTTCTGTTGTTAAATTCTATATCCTCCTCTTGCACATATTAATGTGCTATTTTAACTCCTGTGCCTGATAACTCTAATCTAGACATTCAGTGGGGGTGAGAAAATATCTCTATTTTCTGTCTTTGCCTTTGGTTTTTGGTTTTTTTGTCATGTGGTCTTGTCCTTTAGTGTGTCTAGTCATATTAAATGACAGACATCATGTATGAGAAATTATAGGAATAACTTGAGAATAGTGATGATGTTGTTGTTGTTTCAGAGAAGACTTACATTGATTCCAACAGCAGTGGGAGGAGATGAGCATCATAATCTGATGAGGAGCTGAGGTGATTCACCTGAACTTCAGTCTTTAGGAGGGGTGGTCTATTTCTGACTCACCATTCAGACCAGAATCAAGCTTTTTCTGTGAACAAAACTTGAAATTTGGGGTATACTTGATGACTGTGAGTTCCTTGGCATCTCAGTCTCTCAGCCTGAACTCTAAATAAGCAAATGTTTGAGGAGAGAGGATCCCAAGTGATGGCCTCATTCTTCTGTTTCCCTCCTCTCCAAGAGCTTGGCATCTTCAGTCTGAGCTGTCTCTGCAGCTCCTGAGCCCTCCTGTGTATTCCTGGGATGCATTTTGTCTAAATGCTTGTGACATCCTTGGTAGATGGAATGGTGTGCAATGCCAGTTCTCTGTTACCTTCTACTGCCACTTCCATGCCATGTGTCCTCTCCTCTGAACAATTGTGGTCCAACAAAGTTTGCCACTGAAGGTTGCCACTGAGGTTGGCAGTGGAAGTGCCCAGTTCAGTAGCATCTCTGCCATAGTGTGAGGAAGAGACCTCCCCTCTACTATAAAACACATTCTGTACCTAGGCCTGTGCCCCACCTTCTCCCTTTGCTCTGTGCCACTCTGCATGTGGCCCCTCCTTTCCTTCAAGAGGCCCCTCCCTCATCCACTCTCTCTGTTCTGCCACACTGTCCCCTTTCTTCCATCCCTAGGTCACAAGCAAGAAACAAGCCCTGGAGGAGCAGCTGGCACAGAGCCTGCAGGACCAAGAGGCCCAGATGGATACTCTGCAGCAGGCCCTGCAGGAGAAGGGTGCTTTGTCTGAGGAGCGGGCCCACCTGTTGGCCAAGCAGGAGGCCCTGGAGAGGCAAGGCCATCTCTCAGCGGAGGAGGCAGCTGATCTCAGGTGCTGTGGGCCTGCCAACCAGGGCAAGTCCGGCTTGGAGAGCCCACAGTGTGGTGGATGGTTGGAGCAGGCACTGTAATATAAGGCAGGGGAAGTGTGTCTCCTGTCCATGTGTGAGGGATGAGCTGTGAATGAGAGGAAACAGTGCCTTCGGGATGGCAGAGCATCTAAAGGAGGTGCATCCAGGAAGATCCCTGGGGTCACCTTCCTGAAGACATGGAGCAAGTAGCAGAAACCCAGGTCAAAGCAGTGGGAGGAAGATGTGGGATGTCTTGCTCATGGGTCTGAGGTTCCAGATGAGTCTGTCTTCAGATAAGGCTGGACCCAGGCATCCATAGTGTTCAGAATCCCATCTCTCCTTCCATCTGCACTGCTTGACTCAGATTTCATTCCTAGATATTCTCACACTGAGATGGGGCAAAATGGACAGCAACCACCCCAGATACAAGAACATTTCCCCCAACAAGGCCCCCTAGCTGCTTCCACCGTGCATCCTGATCCACCAGACACCCCAGTAGCAATCCTGGGAGCCAGAGTCTCAGGATTTTGATTGGAGTCTCTGATCACCACTTCACATGGCTCCGCTTCAGGAAGGGGAGCCCCTGCTCCCAGGCCCTGAGGAGGCTGCATCCTGGTGTACTGCTCCCTCTGTCCATAGAGTGCTGGCCTCCTCTTCAGCCAGCACAGTGGACCAGGCTCCCCGCAGCACACCATGCTGGAGCTGCCTCACCCTTCCTGGGCAGCCTGCGGCATGGGCCTACACCTCCAGTCTTAGAAGCTGGGAAGATGCTCTCGGAGGGCTCTGAGTGCAGAGAGATGGGAGGCACCCTCGGACTTCCAGGATGAGTGGCAGGGGGCCGCCCTGAGAGGAGACAGGTGGCATCTAGGTGGAGGCTGGTTCCAGGCTCTTTGCTCACCCAGCTAAAAGAGGGTTCTGGCAAGGGAATGTGGAGCGCTTGGGAGCTACAGGGGTGGAAACTGGAGTTGCAACACGGCACCGTGTGGCAGCAAGCAGCATCTCCAGAGGGTCTGAGCCAGACCCAGAGGACCCCTTTCCCAAAACATCAGAAGCCCTGGAACCCCCAATTCCAATGTGCTGTCCCTGCAGAGATGGCAGGGCATCCCGAGAGATGCAGGAGGCTGAGGTGGGCTGCTTGGGCTGACCCAGGGACCCCGAGCCTTCCCCCTTCTGCTGGGATTGTCCATTTTCTCTGTGTGTACAGTGTCTGTGTTTGGGAGCTTGTGTGATCATGTGTTGCTTAGATGTGGTTGACGGCAAATGCCCCCACCCCGGCAGACTGTAGAAACCTCAGTTGCGCACTGTGGGTGATGGACTGGGCAGACGCTGGTGAGTCCAGGGCCAGAAACTTAGACCCTTTCATTACCCTCTCAGAAGTGTGGGCAGGTGTGCAGGGCCTCACTTGGGCCCACATGGAGTTCTGACCCAGCAGGGTGTTTCAGGGACTCCTTCCGGGCAAGAGAACAGAGGCACTGCACGGTGCTCCTGAGACGGGACACGCCATGCATGTGCTGCATCAGCCTCCTGTTTGGGTCCCCTGAAGACCCAGCACACGTGTGTTCCTGGGGAGCCGGTACTGCAGTCCCTCAGGCCCCACCCAGGATGGCCCCAGCCAACGTGGCAGTGGTCCCTGACCGGCATTTGCTGATCAGACGCCTGTCTAGCAGCGTCTGGGGCTGGACTCTGCCTGGACAGGCGAACCCCGTGTTTTTGGCCGGCTGTGTTTTCTTTGTAAATAGCAGTCGTTTTCCTCTCCTGTAGCATTGGCTGACTTCCTGTCGCTGACCGGTAGGGCTCTCTGTGTGTGATGGGTGTGTTTATGAGTTCATGTGTTTGTGCCTCCATGTCTATTCCTGGTCTTTGAAGTTGGTTTACGAATCTTCTGCAGGAGGAACACTCTCCCTCCCTCTGCACCTGTTCAGTTCTGTTGGCCTCTTTATTTTTGTCGCATGGCTTTGTGTCTTGCTCAAGATTACAAAATATGCTTCATGTTTTTTTCTACCATGTTTACAGTTTTGTGCAGCTGTGACTTGTTGATTTTGTTTTGTTTCTGAATTTAGTTTCTTATTCACCCAAAAGATATCTTTTGCACAGTGTCCAACTTGTTCTTGGAGCTTCTGCATGAATGAGGAGCCCTGTGGTTTTCTGACCTCCGGGCCTGGCCTGGGCTCCTGCTGCTGTGTCACAGGGATGCGTGGGTGACACACCTGTCTGTCACTCTCTGCAGGGCCCAGAGGGACTCTCTGGAGAGCAGCCTCTTTGAGAGCCAACAACTGGTGACACAGCTGCAGGCCGAGCAGAAGCAGCTGGAGGAGGAGGCCCTGAGCACTTGTCTGGCTCACCAGGCCCTGCAAGGTGCTCTTCTGGTGGCCGGGCCCGCTGCCCTCTGCTGAGTCTGACCTGGAATTCAGCCCCTAGAGGTGCTGCTCCCTCCCCCAGGCCCCAGAGGATATAAGTGTGGTCTACACCTTCCCGCCCCCGGGCTCAGAACTGGGCTGTGGCTCCAGGCCCAGTGCCATGGTCTCCTGTGCCTTTGCCTGTCCACCCCCTGCCCCCCCCGCCCCTGCCATGTGCTAGCCACAGCAGACCAAGCAGCCACCTCTCCTCAGGGCTGTGCTAAGGCCATGGGGTGCCCAGGCAGGTGGCCCTGTGGCCAACCCTGACACACTTATCACTTCCCAGTGGAGATGGAGCAGCTGCGGAGCAACTGGGAGGCGCAGGCGATGAGGCTGCGGTGGGATGCAGGGCGGCTGCAGCAGCAGGTGGCCCAACAGAAGCGGGACACACAGCTGGCCCTGGAGAGCCAGGCGATGATGCACCAGGAGGACCTAGCTTGGCTCCAGAGGGAGAAGGTTGCCTGCCCTGGGCCCATCTGGCTGCTTCCGGGAGCTGTGTCCTCCCTAGGGGGAGGGCCCTGGAGGCCGGGGGTAGAGCTGGGGCATCCTCACACCTTGGAATTCAGGTGGGTGGGGGGGGGCCTTCCTGGAGCCCTTGCAGGGCCTAGAGTCAGCCTGGAGCCACTGCCCTGGCAGCGGTGAGGGCTCGGGAGTGGGGTGGGGGATCTGGCTCCGATCTGCGCTGTCCCGCTGGTCCCAGGCCCCTGAAGCCATGTTTGACTGTGCTTATGCCCCATCCTGTCAATGGCGGGCGGAAGAGGGTTAGGAACTGTTGAAGACCTGAGATGTAAGAGGCAGGATGGCAAATGCTGAGATGCAGAGAGGACATTCCCAGCCTCTGCTTGGGGACCTGTGGAGAAGACAAAGGGAGGGCAGTTGGCCTGACCGTCCAGCCTGTCCTTTGTCACGGCCAGGAGACTCTCAGTCTGAGCCTTGCACACCAGCAGAAGCAGGAGAAGGAGCTGGTGGCAAAATGTACAGCCGAGAGGGAGGCTCTAGAGGAAGAAATTCAGAGGCTGAAGCAGGAGCGGGATGAGAGCCTCCTCCAGCTGGAGCACAAGATGCAACAGGTAATGGTGGGATGGGAGGGAAGGGATCCTCATGCCCACCCCACTGTCTCCTGGGACCCTGCACAAGGGCTGCATGGGGCCATTCACCCTCTCCCCAGGCAGATGTAGCCTTTCCAAGTTACTGCTGATGCAACTTTGATCTTCCACCGTGGTTCTGATGGTTAGGCATCCATCCACCTATCCATCCATCCACGTTTCCATTCATCTATCCATCCATCCACACATCCATACATCTACCCAACTATCCACCCATCTATATATCCACCCACTTGTCCATCCATCTGTACATACGTGTATGTTTACATACATCTACACATCTACTTGCTTTCCTATCCATCCATCCATCTACCCAACCATCTATATATCCACCCACCTATCCATTCATCTATCTATACATAATACATCTACCCAACAATCCACCCATCTACACATCCACCCACTTGTCCATCTGTTCATACATACATGCATACATACATACATGCATGCATCTACAAATCCACCCACTTACCTATCCATCCATCTATCCATCCATCTACACCTCCATCCATACATACATCTACCCAATTATCCACCCATCTACACATCCACCTACTACCCATCCATCCATCCATTGATCCATCCATAGATCCATCCAACCATCCACACAGCCACCCATCCATACAGCTACCCAACTGTCTATTTATCTACACATCTGCCCACCTATTCATCCATCTATCCATCCACCCATCTATTCATCCATGCACTCACATATCCATTCAACCATCCATCCACACATCTGCACACTTATTTATCCAGTCACCCACTCATCCATCCACCGACCCACCCACCTATCCATGCACACACCCATCCATTCATTTATCCCAACTATCCATCCATCTACCCCCACCCACCTATCCATCCATTCATCTATCCATCTACACATCACCCATCTTCCCACCCATTCATCCTCCATCCTCACATCCACCTATCTACCCATTCACACACACACAGACCTACCCATGCACCTACCTACTCATCCGTCCAGCCGTGTGTCTGACTCCATCTATCTGTGCATCTATCTGACCCTCCATCCATCCACCTCATTGGCCAGTTATACCACCATTCATTAGTGTATCCACCCTGATCTCCAATTTAGGCACACTGTCAGCCACCCTCCTGGCCATCCTTCCATCCCACAGGCTGAGACTCATACACAGCCTGGAAGGCCACCCTCAGTCCAGATCTCTTCAGCATTCTGTGTCACCCTAAAGAGCTCATGTTGAGTGAATGAAGCAGTCAAGTAAACACGGTCATATGTGTCATTCCACAGTGTGACACGGACTGTAATAAATCAGCACAAGTTACAAGTTGTGGGAGGAATTGTGATAGCTGTGACAGCCAAGGGTTACTGTCCGAAGTTTCTACTTTGGTCCTCACGACGCTCTGAGGCACATGCTCTTAGGAGCCCCGTTTCACTGGTGAGAAAGCTGAGGTCCACCTCAGGCACCTGCCAGGCACTGAGGCTCAGCTTCATACCTGCCAGTACTCCACAACTGAAATGGAGGAAGGCGGTCGGGGCCTCTGAGGAGCATCTAGGGATGGCAGGCTGTCTCTGCAGCTCCTCATGCGGGCCCAGGTGACAGAGCCGAGGCTGCTGCAGCAGGGGAGACAGCAGGCCTGGGCCTGGAGGACAGGGAAAGGCTGGGGCCTGAGCCAGCACCAGCCGAGCAGGAGATGTCTGATCTGGAGACCCCTGGGCACAGTGGACCTCTCCCGGGATCCCCGAGAAGGAGCCCCCAGGGAGCAGCACACAGGGCACATGGGCACTGGTCCAAGGCCACATGAACACCCCATTTCTACAGTCACAGCTTCCAGGGCCACACACAGGGAGGAGAGCAGCCTGCATGGTGGGCAGGCGCCCTTCTCCAGACTTCCCTGGGGGCCACGTTGTAACCTCGACATCGTAGCCCAGTGACACAGAGGGCCAGGCCTGGGGGCGGCTGTCACGGTGTAGTGAGTGGACATCCTGGGCCCCACCTGTCCTGCCCACTCTCCCACATCAGGCATCAGTGTGAGACAGCAGAGAAGGGAAAGGACTGGGCAGAGCCCACAGCTTCCTGGGAGAGCTGTGACTTCAGTCTCAGTCTGTCCTCCAGAGACACAGCAAGGACCAGAAACTGAGTCAAGATCTGAGCCCCAGCTGCAGAGACTGTCACCAGAACTCTCCATGGCCACGGGGCCTGAGTGGGACTGAGTGAAGCCCTCGGCTGGGGAACCCACACTTCTGTCTTCGCTGGAGCTTTACCAAGAATATTCGCCACCGTGCCCACCAGTGAGGCCCTAGAGGGAGAGGCACAGAGCTGGTCTTCAGACCTCAGAGGCCGATGGGCAGATTTGTGCAGAGCTCAGGGGCCTTAGCAGAACATGAGTCTGGGCTCGAGCGCGGCAGTGGGCGGGCACACTGGCTTTTAGAAACCCCTCTCTGACGTGGAGAGCCCACATGGTTCCCACACCAGCAACCATCACTGCTGCAGGGTACTGACACCCCAGAGTGCGTGCAGATTTTCAGGCTAAGCACAGGGTCTCCAACATGACCACCCAGTAAGATGCTAGCCAAAAGTCTGGGGGTCTGCAGGCAACCAACGACAACTGTGGGGGTTCCTGTGATTCCCTCAGTGCTGCAGTGCACAAAGCCAACACATCAGGACCGGCCCAAAGCAGAGACAGGTGAGAGGAGCTCACGGAGGCCAAGTCCCCTCTGGAATCAGCGCGTCACCTTCCCAGCACGTCACGGCGCCCACAGCCAGGCGGCCACTGAGCTCTGGGCTCCAGGCTCCCGACTGGTGGCCACTCCACCGATCCACTCCAGCACGATCAGCACCGTGACTGGCTGTGTGGAGCTGGTACCTCTGAGTGCACAGCTGGCCCAGAGCCCGCGCCACCCCGAGTCGGCCCCTGACCGTGAGCCCAGGAGTGGTCTCAGCCCCCGATGACAATGACGGGGAGCTCCAGTTAGGAAGCTCCTTCCAGCACGAAGAGCAGTCTACTCTGCAGCGTCCTGGGACATCTGCCTGCGGTGGGAGTGCACTGACCGCCCGCACCCTGGGGATTACAGCCTGAAAACCCCATTGTAAACTGAAACACTGAGAGTGGGCCTGGCCCGGGAAATCCCCAGTCTAGCGTGGCTGTCACACCCACCATTCCCTGGAGAGGATGCGGCCCCTGCCCCACATCAAGAGGATTGGGCCACACCAGCTGGGAGACGGTCAGATGCAGAAGCCTAAGCACAGTACAGTTTCTCCTGAATGCTCATCCCTCACACAGTGCTTACGGTCACCACATCCTGGGGACTTCGCAGCTGTGTCCGGAGCTTGGAGATCCCTCTTCCTCTGCACCCACCTTTGAGGGCTCACGGATCTGCACTTTTGGTCTGGTGTCACCACACACCTGGGCCATGTGCCGGGCTGTTACCAGCAGTGTCGTGACCGGCGAGGATGAGAGGGCGTTCGGGTCGTCCTGCAGAGGATGACCCATCCCTCAGCAGCCTTACAAGGCAGGGGGCGCCGGGAGCCAGGGGTGACACTTCCCCCTAGCTTGCCGGTGCCCCCTTCTTCTCGCCCAGGGAAATGAGTGTTTTGAGGCCCTAAGGCCTCCGGTGTGTCCTTCCTATGCGCTGAGGGGAGCTTTGCCTGGAGGGACTAGGAGTCCTGAACCCAGGCCTGGCAGGGAAAGGGCAGGACTCTGGGCAGCATGGCCCAGGGCAGCCACGAAGCGACTGCAAGCAGAGTCCAGGCTGCAGGACTTGCCAGGGACAGGGGCAAGTGCTCGGGCCCAGCTACCAGCGCCCTCATAAGCCCTGCTGTGTCCAGGCCCTGTCTGCGAAGGATGTGGAGAAGAACCAGCTGCTCGAGGAGCACTCCAGGGCCATGCAGGAGCTGGAACGGGTGCAGCAGGAGGCCCAGGGCCAGCAGGTCCACGCTGAGGTGAGCGCTGCCTGAGCCAGGTTCATGCCCTCCCCGTGCCTTCCTGAGCCTCGGTTTCCCACCAGGCCTCCAGGGCTCCTTCTGGGAAGAGGTGCTGTCTTGAGGGCGGGAGAGGCCAAAGCAGGCGAGGTCATGCTCCAGCCCTGCCAGCGGATCCACTGGGACCAGAGGGCTGGAGAACGTGGGCCCCAGACCCACGTGCCCTGCTCGGCCAGCCACAGGTCCCCAGCCTTGCCTCTCTCTGTACTCGTAGCAGAGCACAGCCAGGGACCGCAGAGGCCCTGGGGACTCACCACCTGGGGTCCCAGTTGAAGGAGGTAACGCTGCCCGCAAGACAACCCTTGGCCAGCCGGGAAGCAGCTCTGCTGCCTTTAGGGGAAGCCCTTGGTCACCCAGATGGTGGAGAGGGGCCCGTGCTGGGTTCCCAGGGCGCCGGACAGTATAGGGGCTGTAGGGGGTGTAGGGGTTGGGGGTGCCCAGCCGCTCCCCGTGACTCAGCCCAATCCCAGGCCCCCTCCCTGCCCCCAAGGTCCCGCTGGCTCCCAGCCCCCAGCCCTGCTTGGCTCTGCCTGGTGCCTGGACGGCCTCTCTCTGGGGACGCAAGGCCTGGCCAGGGGCTGGGCTGTGTCCCTGTCCCATGCAGGCAGGGAGCCAGGAAGGCCTCCGAGGGCCCAAGACAGATGCCTAGGAGGAGTCAGCGTGGCTTCCTGGGCCCCCAAACGGGGCTGGCCTGCCCACCAGGGGAGCTCATCAGAGTTCTTTTGCCACCTCAGCTCAAAACGTGGAAATTAGAGTCGGGAGGGTGGGGAGACAAGCCAGGGACACCAGGGGTGACGGGAAAGCCAGCAGAGGGGCCTCCCGCCCTGGCCAATCCCCACTGGGCCCTGCAGACAGAGCCACAACCTGCCATCCCCTGTGACTCTTGTCAGTCACCAGTGGGGCCAGGGGTGGGGACGCCCCACGCGGAGGCCCTGTCGTGGCCTGCGGCACAGAGGGGACCGCTTGGTGACCCCATATGGCACCATGCCTCCCACAGCACCATGCCAGCTCTGAAGGGGGCCTGTGCCCCACCTGCCACCCCCCTGCTCCACCCAGACCCACAGGCACCATGGCCCTCAGAGGCAAGAACCAGGATGCTGGTCCGGGACCAGAGGCCAGGGGTGGGGTCCTCACAGGAGGCCAGGACTCAGCTCGGCAGTGTTCATGGATGCGGAGGGCTGAGTGGGGCCTGTCGGGCAGAGAGGCCCAGCCCTCCAGGTACCAAGGCCCGCATCTCCCGGGAGGCGAGCAGACGTGGGCCCCACTGAGTACCACAGGTCACACCCAGTGTGAGGAAGGATGGGACCAGGCTCCTGGAACAGTCACAGTAGGGACCGCGACGTCCTCTGACCTTACCTGCCTGACAGCTGAGGACACAGGCAGATGGCCACGTCTCTGCCCTGGGGCCCTGCATTCCCTCCCCACACAGCCAGCCCAACAGAGGCACCCTGTCTAGGAGGGGTGTACCCCACGCTGACCACAGGGGCAGCTGCAGGACCTGAGGCTCCTCGGTGCCCCATGCACCCATCAAAGTTCCAGGGTCATCGAGGGCAGGGTCATTCAAGTGCCAAAGGGCTGTCCCTGTCCCTTCCCCGCTTGGCTGAGTGGCTGGACAGGGGGTTTGGGCAGGAAAAGGGTTGCTGCTTGGGCCCCCATTAGGCCCTTCCACCTGCCTGCGCTGGTCCAGCAGCCTGGGGACCCAGAGAAGAAGTCCTGAGTGAGGACCTGGGGGCCAGGAGTGCCAACCCCTTCCTGGGGAGCCCCCACCTGCCTCCGCCCCACAGCAATGGCCTCACGGGGCACTGCCACCCTAGGTCACCATCAGTACCCTGACCGAGGAGCTGAGGACCTTGCAGGCCCAGTTCGAGGGCACCATCTCCGCCCATCAGCAAGAGGCCACGGAGCTGAGTGAAAGCCTCCGGGAGACAGCAGCCCAGCGGAGTGACGTGCGGAGAGAGGTAGGTACATAAGACTGAGAAAAAGGTGCTGGGTGGGGCAGAGCTGGGAGAGGAGGAGGCCAGGGTGGGGACAGGATGCCCACCTGCACAGCCCTCCCCCAGCGCCACCTGGCACCTGGCTCCAGCCACCAGCAGCGGAGGGAGAAGGGGGTCACGTTTCCAGGCATAACGGGGGAAGTTAGGGGGAAGTGGGCTGAGTGGGTCATGGCTGAGACAGCGTGGTGCTGCGGGCCGCTTTGGGTGGGTGTTGCCAGGCATGGAAGAACTCGGCTCTTGGTGGAATGTCAGGGAACAGCACCCAGGGGCAGCTCAGAGAAGATGACCTCTCCTCACACAGTCAGAACCAGGAGTGGGGGGTGCTTACTTCCTGGCACAGTGACTGTGGCTGCCCCCCAGGCCTGAGGGAGCGGCCGTGCCTTGCATAGGGGAGACCTGGCATCACCAGCAAGCGTCAGCAGTGACGGGTAGGGTACCAGGTGGGGTGCTTCCGAGCAGGCCTGTCTGGAAGGGCTGGAGAAGAGGTGGCATGAATAGGATTTCCAGGCAGTCGTGGGCCTGGCAGGGCCCTGGTGGTGACCTGGAGGCTGGAAGCCGAGTGGCAGGATGGGAAGACAGTCGTGGGCAGGGCAGCGGGCCGGCGAGGCCGAGTGGGCCCTGCAGGCGCAGACAGGTGGAAGGGGTTCCTGAGGGCCTCGGGGAGGACAGGGGCGCCGGTGGGAGGCTTCTGCGGGAGGACAGGAGGACTTGGGCTGCAGCAGGGGTCGCGGGACCTATGAGGACAAGGTGGGCTGCGAGCCAAGGCCTGAAGCACAAGCTGAAGGGGATGCAGCCCCCAGGCACAGCCCGCGGCCCATAGAGCAGGGAGAGGAAGCGGGTGTGATTTAACATGACGGGCTGTTTACCTTGGCCCCAGAGAGGAAGGGCTCCCTCCAGCAGATTTCAAAGGCAGGCTGGTCTCGGCCACATGGGGAGCAAAGTGAGACTTCAGAACTGGGGGCGGCAGGAGGGAGGCACATTTGTTCTGGGGGGATGAGGGGAAGAGGCATGGGCCTCACGGCAGGGCCAGGGCTTCACAGAGGCTTCGCTCCAGACAGGGAATGGGGACCCCAGAAAGGGGGGGTGACAGGAGGCTGAAAAGGAGAGGAACTCAGGGGACGAGCTGCAGAGAGAAGCAGGCAGAAGAGCCCTCCCAGGTACCAAGCTGGGCCAGTGTTGCCATGGAAACCGTGACTTTTTTTTTTTTTTTAGTCTTTACACTGGAGGAACTTCCAGGCTCTGGCAGCCCCACCTGAGTGCACACAGGTGTGTGTGCACGCACACACAAACCCGTGCATGGGCACCATTCACCTGTATGCATACATGCACACTCACTGTGCCAGCTCGAGACCACACATGCCTGTATGATGCACACCCACAGCCATTGCTGCACACTGGACCCCTCACATGCACAACCGTGAATTCACATAGTAGACACAGGTGGGCACCACGAAACATGCATGCATGAAGCTGAACAGCAGGCATGCGCACACACATGCACACCCATCATGTGCATGTGAGGGCATGTGTCACACATATATGCACACATGCACATGCTCATACTTGCATACATGACCCCACACCGCATGCTTTTCCATGTACATGCACACACATGTGCACACCAAGTACACATGTGCACGCAGCCTGGCCCCAGCAGCCCTCCCTGTCTCCTTTGTTGTCCTCCCCCAATGGAGAGCTGGAGCTGCCTTCCTGCAGGAGATTTCAAAAGAGGCTGTTTATACAATTTCTAGTAAAGAAATAATTACTATAATCACATTAAGCGATCTGGCTGTAAAATTCCTGCAAAGAGAAGCGTGTTCTCCTGAGCCCGGGCTGGGGGCCTCCCTGGTTGTTTTGCTTGTTTTCTTCTCCTCTGCCCTGGGAAATGGAAAGAGCTGCTTTTATGATGGATTGGCCCTTTTGCTGGGCCTTGACCTTCTGGGTGGATTTCTGCTGAGCTCGCGGAAAATGCTCGGCACGGTTGTGGCTCCCACATGTGGGGGGCAGGGGGGACAGGGGAGGCCTGGGCCCTTCCCAAAAACAGAACAACAATAACAGCAGCCGACTCGGAGCCAGGCTGGCCAGGGGCCTGGCCAGCGTCCCGTGAAAACAGCCAGCAAAGAGGGTCTGCTTTTGGCAAGCAGGAGCCTGACGTCGATCCTGTGCCCTGCAGGCTCCTCCACTCCGGAGGATACATAAGCCAGCAGCCAGGACAGGGCCGCCCCTGCCCAGGCCTGAGCCTGCCAGGCTGGCCTCCCCTCCAGAGCCTCCACTTGGGCCCCATGGAGCCCAGTGCCCAAGATCCCTGCTGTCCCTGGTCAGGGACCAAGAGTGGGCTCAGCCCAGGGCTGGGCCTGGTGGGGACGAGGACTCACTGTGGCCTCTTGCCGTCCTTGGGGCAGCTCTCGGGGGTGGAGCAGCCCAGGGCCAGGAGGGGCGGGACATTGGCCGTGTGGGCTCCTGGATGTACCCACCCACTGTGGGCCTCCTTCCCTGGGCTGAGCCTCGTGGAGGGCTCCCGGGACGGGGCAGTGTCCTGCAGCTGGGTGGTCTGACCCAAGTGGCCCCAGTGTGCAGAGGATTCCAAGGCTCAGGTGCTGGACTGTGTCCCATGCAGATGGGATGGGAGCCAGGCACGGTGGCCCACACCCATCCTCCCAGCACTTGGGGGCGGAGACGAGGGGCATCGAGGTGAGCTTGAGGCCAGCCTGAACTATATAGTGAGACCCTGTCTCAAAAATAAACAAGAATAAATAAACAGATGGGGACAGGAGGAAGGAGGCCAGGGGCAGTCAGCCGATAGCATTCAGGGCCAGAGCCTCCAAGGACAGGCAGTGGCCACAAGGGAGACACGGCAGCAGGGCGGCAAGTGGAGGGCCATCAGGCGGTGGCGGCTGGGTGCAGGGGAAATGGTGCTGATATGTGGGCACAACTGTGTCCGGCAGACCCTGCTGACCACTGGCAGTGTCCTCGAGCCCAAGGGGGATGCCAGACAGGGCCCGGCCGGGAAGGGCCATCTCAGCCTCAGTGGTGGTAGGCAGGGCCGATGTTCAGGGTGGATGAGGCTCATGGCCTGCTCTCTCCTCCAGCACTGGGACCTGAGTCTGGGTGGGACGCCGGTGCCCTCCAGGCCAGGGTCCCAGCCACGTGCCACCCAGGGGCCCCACACACAGCCCCATGCCGCCCCCAGTCCCCCTCTCACTAGCTCTCCCCGCCCTAGGCCGAGAAGCTGCAGGCCCAGCTAAGTGTGGCCCAGGAAGCGCAGGCCAGGCTGCGCCTGGAGCTGCAGGGCAGTGAGGAGAGGCTCGAGGGGCTGCGCAGGGAGGCCCTGGAAGCCCACCAGGCACTGGGTGACGAGGCCCATGAGAAGGATGCGCTGCAGTGCTCCAACGCCGCGCTTCGGGCCGCCCTCCACAGGGCCGAACAGGACAAGGCCAGGTACAGCAGGGTGAGGCAGGGAATGAGGAGAGCCCTGGACAGCTGGGCTGGACAGGTGGGGGAGAGGTACACAGGTGCCAGCCTGTCCAGGAGGCTGGGGACACAGCAGACCATCCCTGCCCTCGAGGAGCCCCGCACAGCAGTCAGAGGGCCACAAGGGCCCGTGGGAGGCTGGACTGGGCTGGAAAGCTGGGGGAGCTGGGGCCTGGCCAGGACAGCAGGCTGGTGCCAGACGCAGGGTCTCTGGGTGGCTGGAAGGCAGGCGAGTGGAAGCAGGTGGGCTGAGGAGGGCTGAAGAGGTGGCCAGTGGCCAGGGCAGGGCCACACCGGCCACAGGAACCCGGATACAAGTGTTCCTGAGGGCTCAGGGAGCTCTGCCGAGGCCAGCCCTGGACTGGTTCCACTGGGGAGGTCCGACCTGCCCGGCAGCTGTGAGGGTTTCAGGGAAGTGCAGCCCTGGGAGCCCAGCCAGCCTGTGGCACCCGCTCAGTTTAAAGCGGACCAACGAGGAGCAGGAGCAGAAGCTGCGAGCGCAGGACGAGGTCCAGGCAGCAGCCCAGGAGGAGACCAGCGAGCTGCGGGCCAGGGTGCAGGCCCTGGCGTGGGCACAGGGGGAGGCCCGTCAGGAGCTGCAGGCGTGCCGCAGGCAGGTGAGGGCTGGGCGGGTCCTCGGGCCAACTGGTGCCACCGCAGAGCGTGTTCTAGGTGCAGGCTTCTGCTCCTGCCCTCCGGGTGGCCGGCTGCTGAGGGCCAGGTGACGCAGCACCTCAGACCCAGGTCCCCGACCCACCCAGCCCTCCCGTCCCAGCTCCACTGAGCGTCCCTGTCCCAGAGAGGAGGTGGCAGGTGTGTGGAACACCAAGGCCCCACCCAGGTCCGACTCAGCCCAAGGCCACAAGTGTGGACAGGTGAGCACGGAGGAGGCCCAGGCAGCCAGTTCCCGCCACAGTGGCCCCCGCACTCCAGGTGAGGACACTGGAGGCTGAGAAGCAGAGGCAGAGCAGAGAGGTGAGCGTGCTGCAGGCCCAGTGCCCACAGGATGCCCAGCGACAGCAGCGGAGCCAGCAGGCGGCGCTGCAGTTGCAGAGACAGGTGGCAGGGGCTGAGGCTGCCCTCAGGGATGCCCAGAAGGAGGTAGGGCACTGGCCGGCTCCCCAGGAGGTGGGGGCTGTGCAGGGGCAGACAGGCCTGCCAGGAGGCAGCTGGGACGCCATGCCGGGAGCCCAGGCACTCACCTCTGACCCCAAGGGCACTTGTGGGGCCGTCCACACACGCGAGCCAAAGTGACTGTGCAGCCAGAGTGGGGCCCAGCTGCAGCTGCAAGTCAGGCTGCAGAAAAGGCAATCGTGCCCTAAGGGTGCCGCATCCTGTGTGTGGCGAGGCACTCTCACCTGCCCTGCTCCCACACGCACGCAGCCCTAGCTCACAACTGAGGGCTTAGTGCAGCCCCAGCTCCTGAAGCCGACTGGCCCTGCTGTCCTGGGTGGGAGGCACATGTGAGGTCCTGTCCAGCTATGGACTGCAGGGTAGGGGCTGGGGGTCCCTGCTGCCCTGCCCCCCCGCCGAGCGTACACAGCCTCCATCTGAGCTGCCCCTTCCCGCAGGTCCTGGGCCTGCAGCGGAAGCTGGCAGAGGCCAAGGTCACAGGCGAAGCCCGGGCCAGGAAGCTGGAGGGGCTGCTCTCTGAGAGCCAAGGGGCCACGCACAGTCTGCAGGCCGAGCTGCGCAGCGCCACCAGGAGGCTGCAGCAGGCCAGCAGCCGGGCCGACAGCCTCCAGGGCCGCCTGGACAATGCCTGTGGCCGGGTGCACAGCCTGGAGCGAGAGCTGGCCGGAGCCCAGGCCGCCCAGCGGCATGCGGAGTCTCAGCTGGGCCGGCTGTGCTCTGTGCTTCACCACAGCCTGGGGCTCTGGGGACGGAGCACAGCAGTCTCCCCTCAGCACCTCGGGTCCCCAGCGAGAGGTCAGCTGTGCCCCTGGCCAGGCTCCCCAGCCCGACCCAGGCCTCGTACCCTCCGGGAGGGGCAGACCCTTCCCAGAGCCTTTTGGGGTGTGGAGAAGGCCTGGCGCCCCACGTCTGCCGCTGTGTCAGTGCCTGGTCCCCTGCGCTGTCCCCTCCTGCAGGCTCCGGAGGCCCCCGGGTCCACCCCGAGCAGCAGAGTGCCTGCACCTGCGCTGGGCCTCGCTCCCTGCGACCATCACCTGCACCCGGAGACCCTGGCCCAGAGCTCATGGACGTGGCCTCGGTGCAGGACGCCCTGCGGGGCTTGGTGCAGAAGCTTCGGGACACCCAGCGGGAGCGGGTGAGGCCAGCCAGGGCCCTGGGGTGGGACACGGGGAAGACAGCAGCCCTTCTCTCGGACCAGTGTCCCTCCGTCTGTCCATGCCGAGCCTGCTGAGACCCTGGTGGGCCCTGTGGGACACTGTCCAGACCACCCTCTGTCCACGGTGACGGATGCCAGCATCCCCGCCAGCCCTCCAACCACGTGGCCTCCCACGGCAGTTGGCCATCCCATCCCGATGCATCCCATGCTGTCCCCGAAGAGCTAGTTCTTCCCAGAGGCTAGGACACTGGCCAGCTCACTCCCAGCGGCTGCTCCCCCGGGCTCCTGGCCCAGGGCTCACCCTCCCGGCAGTGGGTGCCAGTGGCTCAGAAGAGATGGACAATCCCAGAGCACTGGCTGCTGCTCCCTGGCCCCTTCCAGCCCTCGCTTTGTGTGCTGGCTGGCGCCTCTGCCTGTCCCCGGCCCACGGGCAAGGCCCCTGCCACCCCAACCTGGACTCTCCAGCCCCCTCCAGCCCTTCTGTGCCCCAGGGCTACCTCGCCTCCTGCCACCCACTGACTGGAGTCCCTCCCCTAGGACGACTGCCGAGTCCAGGTGGCCGGCCTCAGCAGCCGGCTGAGTGTGGCGGAGCGGGAGCGTGCCCGAGCCCAGGGCCGCATACGGCAGCTGCAGAGGGCGCTGGCCGAGGCCCAGGAAGGTGACCTCCCATCCCAAGAGGGTCACCGGCCCCTTCCCTGCCTGCCATGGTGCGGGGTCTGAGGAGGAGAGGACTGGGGGGCAGCACCCCCACTCCGAGCACTTCCGGGCCCAGAACCCCCGCCCAGCACCTGCGTGACCTCCCCGGAGAGGCCCCTGCCTGCCTCCCCCACATACGACAGCCACCGCCCCAGCTGCCAGAGGCGGCGTGGGTCAGGAGGCAGAAGGACAGTGGAGAGGGGTGGGAGGCCGGAGGCACAGAGCCAGGCCCCTGCCAGCAGCCACCCCTGACCGCGGCCCTGCCCTCCCAGGCCTGCGCCAGGCAGAGGGTGCACTGGGCAGTGCCCAGGCAGCACGGGACCTGCAGAAGGAGGCCCTCCTGAAGCTGCAGACGGAGCACCTGGCCAGCACGCGGGCGGCGGCTCAGGACAGGCGGCGGCTGCAGGTGGGGACCTGAAGGGGCCACGGGGCGGGAGGTAAGGGGCTGTGGCTCGGTGGGCGAGAAGGTTCCCTGCTGAGCCAAGGTGCAGGCTGTGGACCAGGTGGCAGGAGGCCGTCAGAGCAGGGGCTGTTGCTGCTGGACAGCTGCGAAGTGGTCCTAGCCCCCACTTCACAGTTTGGGAAACAGAGGTCTTGGCCTGGGCAGCACAGCCAGCCAGGACGAGAAAGAGGGAAAGAGGGAAAGAGGGAAAGGAGAAAGAAGGAAGGAAGGAGGGAGGGAGGGAGGGAGGG